TTAAATATTATCGAGCATTGTGAATAGCTTAGTTTATATTTTATTATGGATTTGTTGAGAAACAAAATAGGAATAAACTCCATCATGGTATTAGTGGACATTTTCTAAAATGTCACACTTCATTGCTTGCAGAAATACTTTTAATGCTCTTCATATTGTTCATCCGTTTTTTTCGTGAGATCAATCAACTTCATGGTTTATTTCAAAGCCTAACCTTCGATCATGATGTGAAGTTCATAAGCAGTTTTTAGAAAGAGGCATTGGAACCACCTAAAGACTTCACTGCAGCAAAGTTTGATGTATCATCTACTAACAAATGGGCAAACCAAAGTTGTCATGAGATGGATTCGGTATTAGCTAAGGTGCATATAAATTGATAATTTGTAGTTTTCTTTTGTATGATTTAAATACTGGATGTTTTTTTAACAAAATGAATAACAACTAGTTGTAATCTTGGCCAAAGAAATCTTTTTTGCAGCTAGTTTATTATTTACTCTCTTTTTGAGTGAGCTGCTGGTCTACATACATGCAGTTCTTTTATAAGTTGCATACAAATAGACGAATATGGTATGTAAAGAAATTTGTGTCATAAAAAATAATGAGAAATTAGATGGGGAATTATCATGATGCTACCAAATAGTAGAGAAATTTGAATTAGTGTTTTATAGGTCTTATAATTCTTTGAAATTTCTAATTTCAATTTATAGCTTGGATAGCAGTGCCAACTTTCTGCTAAGTGCATCTGCCATCCTGTTTTGGATCCTAGACTTGTAAATTCGCACAAAAAGATTTTTTGTGGAGACAAAATCCATCTCGCATGCAAGTCATTAATCATTTTATGTTAATTAATAAATTGTATAGATTAGTGCTCATTGCATAATACATAGTCTTATTGGAGTACATAATATTAAAAATAACATAGTATTGTTGCGATTGATAATAAGATAGAGAGTAATATAGATTTTCTTCGTAATAATATTAAAAATTGAAAGAAAATTTTTAATTTTTTCATATTTCAACCCATTTGAGTTAGCTTACAACCATTAATTATTATTGTATCTAATTGCATAGTGATGAAAATCATTTCCATAAATAAATGCAAACTCCAACACGTTGAAAATTAAGTCCACCTATAAAAACTATTAATATATAAAGATATTATAGTTAGAACTCCTAATTATTTAGCCACTTTTACAAACTTATGTAATCTCACGGAGGATTTTTTTCAAATACTTTACTGACCCTCTGATCTTCTGAATGATGTACTGAACCTCATATAGTTTATCTTGGAATATTGAAGATATGTGTGCAATCTCCACATAAAAGAAAATATCATAAAAGTGTAACTTTTCCCATGATTTAAAATTTATTTTTAATGAAATAGCTGCTACTTCATTAATATTTACACTATATAAAGTAATTGTAAAGATTTTGTTTTGAAGTTTCCACTTCAACAAGCATTCACAAATAACATCATATATGTAAGTGTCAGTATGTGAAGGCTCTAACTTAATAAAATTGATGATTACCTTCTTCAACTTCCATGTTTCATCAATATAATAGGTAGTTATGAACATATATGTTATGGTTTAATTAGTGGCTTTACAATCTGTAGTTTGTGACACCCTATAAAGATCCTTTAGGCTACATATAAGCTTTTCTTTCTCACATTCAATAGAATTTTATGCAATCATTTTTTATGATATTCCTTGAAAGTCTCTCAAAATTAGGATTTAACATTTTCAACAATACATTAAATCAAATATCATTAATGAATGCTTATGTATAATTATCATTTTGTAATTAACTCTCTTACGAGTTACTAGTCATAATTTTTGAGATCACAAAATAGAATATTTGAGTCATTATCAACTTCAAAAGACAAGAAGTTTGACCTTTTTTGTTTTATATGAGAGAAGTCAATGAGTTGTTAAACATTTGCTTTTATCTTGTTACATTCCTTAATGTGCCTAAGAAGCCGTGAAGTTGTGCCTATTTTTTGTGTGGATTTTTACCCTGCATCAAATGCATTGGACAAAAAGGACCCAGAATTAGATTTAACATCCACAAAGAACTCTCACACAATGAATTTTCTCTTTCTACCTTTCTTAGCTTGTATGTCGGTATTATTACTTCAAATAACAACTTCAAAAGATTGAGAAATATTATGAGAAATATCATGACTATCTTGTATGAAAACTGACATTTGTTCACTAGTTGATGTAGATTGAGATTGTTCAAATATTGACATTGCAAACAACTAAACATAAAAATAAAATATTACATGAGATCTCATTCATGCATTTGCCTAAGCTTCACATTAAAAATCATAAACTTATTTAATGTCAAGTTCACATATAGTTAAATACATAATAAAAAATGTCTTTGCATTTCTAAATAAAATTAAAAGATATTTATGCAAATACAAACTGTGATGAAACATCTCAATGAGAGAAATCCACGAGCAATTATATGCATATATGTTAAAATGTTATATGCATGGCTTCTAAGTTTAAAATAGATCAAAGAAGACAACTATCAAGACATTAACACTAATTGCTTGCATATAAAAGCGAACTAATCTTAGCCAAACAAAACACAAAAATTGATTAAATATAAAATCTTCCAAACTGAAATTGTTATAAATATGCAGTTGAACTAAGCATCTCAATAAAACAAACCGATAAATATCATAAGCGTTCTGAACTAAATTCTGAATCCAAATGAACCAGCACAAAAAAACTATGAAACACATTTACGATTTCAAATGATGGCCAAATGTAGCATGCTTATAGTTGTCTCGACAAAATTTTAGTTCAATAAAATGTAAATAAACTCCAACATAATAATATTGTCAGCATGTCCTAAATTTATAGATATTATTTAAACAACAACTGTGATCCATATTGATATAAAATGTGACTCGCACTTAACACTATCACTCAGTCAAATAAACTGTGATCCATATTAATACTCAACCAATATGAGAGAATGAAAATTAAGCCACAAACTAAAGAGTCAAACTAAATCAAATATCCAAAAACAATAACATCACGGTTATAAACCCAAATAGTATGAGTTTTTGTCGTCGGTACTTCGAAGTACCAAACCCTAACTAGAGAATAAAACAATCATACTTGCATCTTAGCCCCAAATAGTGATAATATCTTTTCAAATAATAAAAATAAGAGATAAGAGAGAGACTGAGCTATGAACTATCACTCAATGAAAAAATAGATTCAAATTTCAGAATAGAAAGAAGTTCACAGAGACGAGTCACGAATCACAAGCCACGAGCAAGAGAGAACGAGACACGAGTACTCCTTGAACGGTTTGAAATAGTAATTGGCCATTCATTGGAAATGAATTTAGTTGTAGATTGCATCCAAAATTCAACATGTGATTCAACGAACTGATGCTGAAAAGTACAATATATCAAGAAATTGCTAAATGTAAGAGATGAATAATTTTAATAATATTTTTAATAAAAGTAGATATGAGAAAATGCATGATACATATTAATCATTAGAGGATATTACTTTTCACTTAATTCTTTTGTGGTTACATGTTTAATATTTAAAATTAGTTAAATTTTTTATATGAAGCTACATTTTTTAGAGTAATTTATGTGAATGATAAAATTAAAAGTATTAGATATGTAGGTACATAAAAATTATTTTATTTTGGTTCCAATGGTTTAATAAAATTATTTTATTTGAGGAAGAGATTTACAAAGTGCAAGTACAACTAAGGGCGTAACCGCGTAAAAACAACTCGTTGTTTGCGAACAGCTCATGTTTGGCTTATTAAGTAGCTCGTGTCAGATTTGTTCATTAAGCAATCAAGTCAAACACAAATAATTTTTTTTTAGCACAATTTATAAATGAGCAAAAAAAATGCTTAAATATTTGTTTGTTCATGTTCGGCTCATTTTAAGTTGAAATAGAAAAATTAATTACGTAATAATATTTATTTATTTTTTATATTAATTAGTTATAATGTATTTTAAAAAACGCATATAAAATTTTGGGTGATAAAAATGTAAAAATTAAAATTTAGGTGTTAGATATGTAAATACACGGGGATTGGCTATTATGCTTGTAAATGATTAAAAATAATAATAATAAAGCCTAAGCCACCAACAATCTGTGTTTAGGTGTTGGATATGTAAATACATGGATGCATGTAAATGCCAAAATAGAAAGCCGCCGTCTTGTCTTAGTCCCACATATGTGGGAGGAGTTCAATTACAGCTTCAGGAGTCTTTAAATGTAAGAAATACCGCTTTCGAGCACAAATCAAGTGGTCTGGCCTCATCAAAGTTATTGTTGAGCTCAAATAAAAACCAAACACAGCTTAATTTGAATAAAAAAACTAAGGGATCGTTTGGGGGAGCTTGTGCATTTTAGGATAAGCTGCTTATCCTCAATTTCGGCCGGCCATAAGGGTTGACCCGTGGCCCGCGTTTAGTGTAAAAATCCAAACGCAGTTTCGGATAAGCTAGTGAAAAACGCGAATCAAACGGTACGATGACGTTGTTTTGAAAACGCCGCCCACACTTATAAGCTGTCCCAAACGGACCCTTACTCCAGTCGAACACAAAAAGACATTTCACAGAAAAAAACAATAACAAAATAAAACGAGCAGAACAAGAACAAATCTTGAGCTCGCTCAAGCTCAACACGTTTACACCTCAAGGTACAACATCAATATTGGCTAAAGTCAATAAAATAAAGCATATTCTGTGCTTTTCACAATGATTTTCTAAACTAAAATATTGCAAAAACTTTTATCATACTGAACATGCATAAAGTAATTGAAGGATGTCAATCACAAGTCACCTACAACAATGAAAGCATATGGTGACCAGCCTGCCAAAACTACAGAAAAATTAAAATATAAGGTATTAGATCGTTTTTTTTTTTTTTTTTACAACAAAATACTATTGTGCATCTTAATATTTACATTTTAAGTTAAAGATAGAAAATTAAGGGGAAAAAAAGAAGAAGTACCAATTCATCATGTTTCCATTGCTTAGATCATTATAAAACTCATTTATCTATCAGTTACAGATGCTTCTAAGTATAATGAGCAACAAAAAGTCAAAGAAGACTTACATTACTTGACAACACCTATAGATTTATAGATGCGAGCACTTATAACCAATTGAGAACTAGAGGCAAAGAAGTCATCTGGAACAACAAGCAAAGTCTTGGAAGACTGAACACCATTCCACTTCCTCATATTCTGTGCCGAGGCCCTAAAACGAAGCGAACTTCCCCCGCCATCCACTCTGAGCTCGTATGAGAACTCGTCAGACTCGGGACTGCTCGAAGCCATGCAGATCACAGATAGAATATTCCCGAGAAAGGTCTCATGACAGTTCATGAGGAGAAAGAAATGACCATCCTCCCCAAGCAGAATCATACAACGTTGATGCTTTTCCAAAGCAATCATGAAAGATAGATTGTAAGAGAAATTCATCGAAATGTTACCATGCTTCCTTTTGGCATGTGCGAAGAGAAGATTTCTTGAGCCAGAGAATGTGCAGTTGCTGATTGGGCAGAAGAGAGCGGCATGACCGCAACATTCTTCATGATCAGCTTTCACAGCAAAGGATAGAACAGCTCTGCATCCTAAATTGGCATATTTGCATGGGCTCAACATGGATTCGATGACTTTCTCGAGTGCGATGCACCGCCGGTTACCGATAGGTTGAGAACATACGTGACATTTATTTAAGAGCTTCGGACAACAAATATAGCATGCAATATGTCCGTTTCTGCACTGGAAAATCAAGCGAAACAATTTGTTAAATTCATGAGACTGAAATTTTACATAGAAGCATAAATTTTACAGAGAAATTTAAATTACGATAAATGACCACTTCATAAACAAAAGTGACCTTTAAAGAATGATGAACATTTGTAAGAAATTAAAACCTTATGATCTGTATAATATATTCTGAGCATATAATATGATGATTTGGTGAAGTTCAGATTGCCGATTATTGGTTAATATTACTAAGAAATCAACTAAACAAAAATCCAAAAAGCACACACATTAAAAGGGCCGCTATGGGTTCTTGATAAGTTATAATGTGTAGTTTTAAAGTGCTCAAAACTGTTCCTCGAGGACAAATGCAGGGTACCACATATGGCATATAAAATTGAAATTTAATTAAAATAAAGGATAATCATATATGCCTACTACAAAATGCATAAATAATAACAGCAAGTTTAGAATACCGAAAACTAGGATGTATGAGCACTCATACCTTATAGAAGTATTATCATGTTTCGTATGTTTTCTTCATAAGTTCAAAAACTAATCCTTGTGGATGTGCATGAATCTCTCTCCACAAAAACATATCAAGTTCTATGTATGACCATATTCATATCCTGCAAATTTTAAACATTTTTCCTGTTTCCTTATCATGATGCAAGATATCCCTATGTCCCTTACCCTCTTCCTGTTAAAGAGAATAGAGCTCTGTGTAACAAAAAAAATTGTGCAAATTAAATGTAGCAGTTTATCCGGCAGTCACAGAATAGAAGATTCGTAAGAAAAGTTCAAGCAGTTGATACAATTAGAATTCTATATCCTTGTTGTTTATTGTTAGTAAATAAATATGAATCTTCTATATATAACACACAAACAATCGCAGGTCTTCCAATTCCAATTTCTACAAAGAAAAAACGGGAATCATTGGGCGATGATTCAAGAATTCTGACCTGAAAAATGGGCGGACAAAGGGGCACGAAACAGATGTTGCAATCGAGAACATCAGGATCAATTTGAAAGCAAAAACAAAATTCCATTACTCAGCTAGAACATTTATATGGAATAAGTCTCTTTATAGAACACTCTTTATAGGACAATCTTTAAGAAAATCCTTTTTCTGCTAGTTGGATAAGGACCACTACCAGTACTAATTAAGCTATAATGAATTATTTTTAACTGGGCAAGGCCCTATGATTTTTTCTCTATTTTAATTTTCTATATAAAAATTTCTAGTGTACGCACATTCTTCACTTGTCATTGGTTTTTTGTACCATCACAATGTTGAAGGTCCAAGTTGGGTACTAGACCTCTTAAATGTAACCGGCCTCTTCCAAGCTTCGCCGCTCCCTCTTGGATCGGCTCGGTCAAGACCCTAGCTGACGACTAGTTTTTGTTTCATGGGTTAGATGGTCGGATTGATGTTCAATAGGTGGCAGGCAACGTCGACTGAGATTCCTAGTATTTCCATCACTGTCCAGGAGAGAATGTCACGGAGCTCACGTATGGTTTGAATCAACAAGTTCTTATTATCTGCATTAAAGTTATATACTGGTGGGGATTCTAACACCAAAAAATCCTTTGTGCCCTCAGTTAAACCAGCTTACACTCCAAACCTGAGCCAATCAACCCTTCAAAAAAAATTCACGAAATATTGTGACAGTTCATCACCTTTAGACCAACAAAAAAAAACCACCTTATAACCTAGCTTTTATAGCCCACATCCTCACTGAAACCTTTCCACTAATCTTCTTTTACTACCTTAAAAGATAGGCACCATCAAATTCAATTCCACCACACACTCCACTAACAACGAGTTTTTTTTATATTAATTATGGAACTCTTACAAAATGAATTTATAGTAACGTGCCTTCTACGTAGAACAGATGCTTCAAAAAATCTTTCATGTTTTTGTCAGGCACACATGCCTCTAACACTCCCACACACTTGTTTAACAAGCTCAAATAATGTCACAAACATGAGCTCTTTTTTATTTTATTTTTTATAATTGAAGTCAAACACAATCAAAATAGAGCACGTCACAATTGAGACATAAAATGTGATGAAGTGCTAGTTTTTTATAAAATAGACTAGAATATTATATTTTTATCGACGATGGTGAATATTTTAATGAAAAAGATATTACTGTTAGTCATGATGATGATTGTGATACCAAGTGCTTATTGTAGATAATGCATCAGTGTGATGATATATTTCAAAAATATTTTGAAAATTAAATACTATTTTATTCTTTTGGCTTTTTGTGGACAGTATAATGTTGATATCGAAAAGTCACTCCTAGATAGTGTTATGTTAGTGAAATTAAGTACATTTGATAAGAAAATAATTAAATTTGATTAACTATTTAAATATATTTGTAATTAAACTATTTTTTGGTCCTTAAGCTTTTTGCTTGATACATATGCTATAATATTTCATTTGATAATACCCTTTGATAGAAAATATAGATAATAGGGGTTCTAATAACATATTTTGTATTGAACATTGAAAACATTATGTCCATGGCATGCCAAGTGAGGTTTTGTACATTTGAGTCATGTGCCAAGTGCAACTTTGTATATTTGTGTCATGTACATGTTGTGTTGTATCTGTATTTTATATCAGCGTCTATGCTTCATAAGGGGCCTTACAAAATAATATTTGCAGATGATATATTACGATAAATAACCACTTCTTAAGCAAAAGTGAACTTTAAATAATGACAAACATTTGTAAGAAATAGAAACCTTAAAATCAGTCAAATATATTCTAAGCACATAATATGATATTTTGGTGAAGTTAAGATTGCCAATTATTGGATAATATTACTAAAAATCAAATCTAAAATCCTAAAAAGCACAAACACATTTAAGAATGCCGCCATTTCATGTTGAGCATTAAGTTGAACATTTGGACATTAAAAATTTTGGAAACTGTGTTAGAAATGTCATTTTAAGTATTTTATTTTGAGCTTTCTCTACAAACTCTGACATTTTTTACACCAATTGAACGCTTACTGGACACCTTATAGCACACCATGGACTATTATTGTACACATTGGACATAGGAGTAATTATAAAGACATCAAATAAATTTATGAAACTCCAATTACATTGGTAATACTATATAATTTGAAAGCTGAGGAACAAAGAAGCCATTGACAAATAAATTTAAACTGATAAAATGAGAACATTCTAATGTGTAGTTTTTAAAGTGCTCAAAACTTTGAATTTGCTCAAGGACAAATGCAGGATACCACATATGCCATATCCAATTGAAATTTAACTAAAAAATGCATAAATAATACCAGCAAGTTTATAATAATGAAAACTAAGATAGTGTGACAATCATGGTTTACCTTATAAAAATATTATCACGTTTCGTATGTGATCTTAATAAGTTCATAAACTAATGTTTGTCGATGTGCACGAATCTCTCTCCACAAAAAACATATCAAGTTCTATGTATGATCATATTCATATCCTGCACTTTTTCAACTGTTCATGTCTCCTTTTCACGATGTCTCAAATCCCTAAATCCCGTACCCTCTTCCTGTTTCATAGAATAGAACTCGGTGCAACAACATAAAAATCGTGCAAATTATATGTAGCAGTTTTTGCGGCAGTGACGGAATGGAAGATTCGCAATGAAAGTTCAAGCAGTTGAGACAATTAGGATTCTATACCCGTGTTGTTTATTGGTAGTAAGTAAATATGAATCTCCTATATATAACACAGAAACAAGCGCAGGTCTTCCAATTCCAATTTCTACAAAGAAACAGGGGAATCGAGGGTTGTTGATTCAAGAAAACTGACCTGAAAAATGGGAGGACGGAGGGGCTCGAAGCAGATGGAACAGTCGAGAACTTCTGGATCAATCCGAAAGTTAAATTCTCCATTCTTATTATTATTACCTCTACGGAAACCTCCGTCCTCGGCCGTCTCGTCCACTTCGTCTCCGACCTCATCGGACGATTCCTCCTCCTCCGCTTCCGAACATTCCCCTTCGCCCCGATCGCATGTCTTCTTCCTCAAATTCTCGTCTTCCTCGCTGCCCCTTTTCCTCCTTTTGCGCCCGCTCGTGCCCTCGTCCAAGCAGAACCTCGCCATTCCAATTGGCAAATTTCATCAAACGCCTCTTTCCTCTACATGAATTTATCTTGTGTTAAGTGGCCCATCTGACTTGAACAAAAACTTTATTGATAAGGCATAATCAAAGAAATAGTACATTAAGTCATTTTCTCTTAGGTTAAAAAATAAAAAAATATATAAAGATAATAAACTTTGGAGTTGTGTAATGATGTCATCAGGTTGATAATGGGATAAATATTCATGAATCTCTAGAAAATCCAATGGGTTTCACAGACAAATCAAATGACATTACATTGGGATGGTCATAAGACAAACAATAAACATCATTTCTTTAGGTCGGAATTTTGAGCCAACTGAACGGGAGGATATCTGAATGAAAGATAGAAGTAACTCAATGCGGGACCCGCTATCCATGTAAGTTCTGAAGCCCCTAAGAAAATGGTCAAACGACCCCTCAAGGAAACCTTTGAGAAGGTTTTTTTGTCCAAGAAAGATTGCCCACCAGATTACGGTGGTACACCGTGCCTGGCGGTATAGTTTATCCCAACAACAGGAGTGTCGCTTCTCAAAATTTTCCATTAAAAGGGCCAACTAATGAATTTTCAGCCTCCCAAATGTCTTCCAGCCGACCAAAGGCCTCCATCTGGCAGAGCGATAAGGTTGTTGAGTCATTGGGTGCCCCTATTCAGGCGGTTATGAATTCAAAAAGGTGTCAAAATTAGTTATGAATATGAAAATGTGTCAAAACCATTTATGCATACCAAAATGTGCCAAAAGTAACTTGAAACGCCCCAATTAAAACACTAACAATCATGTAATTGTCAACTCGGTACCCCCTAAATCTGTAAATAGGGGATTGTTTTTACAATGAAAAAGGTCGTTGATTTGTCATACCCAAACTCTTGCATTTACGGTGCACTTTTCTCTCTCTCTCTCTGTGTTTCTCTCGTTCTCTCTCTATTTATTTATCTCATCCTGTGCTTTATTCCTTGGGAGTGATTCACAATATATATCTAAATTCAACAATATTTAAAACATTAAAAGTAGATGAGGTAGATATATATATATATATATATGGTGGTAGACAAATAATACATGCATTGTCATTGATAAGCCATACAACTGGGAAAGGTCCTAGCTACCATGGACTTAGGGTCCGTTTGGGGCAGCTTATTTGGTGTGGTGACGTTTTGAAAACACACCTGACTTGTTTGGGTAAACTGCGTTTTGGCAGCTTATGCATTTTCAAAATGCTGAAAACAATGTTTTCGCACCACACCTATCTAGGTGAAGTGGTAACTTTCTAGCTGCAGTCCTGCTTTTCCAAAAAAAATAAAAATTTGTAATAGCCACCGCAGCTAGCTTATCGACATATTATTTTTAATCAGTTTATCAACAGATTATTCAATACGCTGTAGCTGCCCCAAACAGACCCTTAGTTTTGAGTATGTGCTAGAAGCAAATCCTTCTTTTCCAAGATAAATTATCACTAGATCACCTTCCTAAAATATAGTATCACAGATGTGTATTTTCTTGATGTTTGTATTGGACGTTGAAAGCGTCTAGTTTGGCACGTACCTCATATGAAAGTTTCATATGATCACGAGCTATTTAAGAAGCAAATTTATTTAGCATTTATGTAGGATGGTAAGGTCTATAGCATGATTGGGATGTTGGGAGTAAAAAATATGCCACTAGAATGATTAATGATCAAATTATATGCACTCTAAATGCACCAAAAAACACTCTCATTGCTTTAAATGTTCCTTTATGTGATATTTTAACATATTGTTGAGCATTGTGAATACCTTAGTTTATATTTTATTTTGGATTTGCTGAGAAACAAAATATGAGCAAACTCCGTCATGATATTAGTGGACATATTTTTTAAAATGACACACTTCATTGTTGTTTGAAATACCTTTAATGCTCTTCATATTGCTCATATGTTTTTTTCCATGAGATCATTTGATTTCTTGGTTTACTTCAAAGCCTAACCTTCGATCGTGATGTGAAGTTCATAAGCAATTTTTAGAAGGAGCATTGGAATCGCCTAAACATTTCACTGCAACTAAGTTTGACATATCATCTACTAACAAATGGGCAAACCAAAGTTGTCAATGAGATGGATTTGGTGTCAGCTATGGTGTATATAAATCGATATTTTGTTGTTTGCTTTTGTTTGATTGAAATACTGGATATTTTTTTAACAAAATGAATAACAACTAGTTGTAATTTTGGCCAAAAGAATATATTATGCAACTAGCTTAGTATTTACTCTCTTTTTGAGTGAGTTGTTGGTCCACCCACATGCAATTCTTTTATAAGTTGCATACAAAGAGATGAATTTGGTTGGTTGCCTTTAGAAAGAAATTTGTTTCATAAGAAATAATGAGAAATTAGATGGGAATTATCGCGATGGTACTAAATAGTATAGAAATTTGAATTAGTGTTTTATAGTTTTTATAATTCTTTGAAATTTTTAATTTCAATTTATAGCTTGGATAGCAGTGTCAACTTTCTGCTAAGTGCATTTGTCATCCTGTTTTGGATCCTAGACTCGTAAATTTACACAAAAAGATTTTTTGTAGAGATAAAATCTATCTCGCATGGACGTCGTTAATCATTTTCTATTAATTAATAAATTTTCTAGATTGGTGTTCATTACATAATACAATTTTTTTGGAGTAGATAATATTAAAAATAGCATAGTATTGTGAAGTTGGCAATAAGATAGAGAGTATTAGAGATTTTCTTCACAAAAATATTAAAAATTGAAAGAAAATTTATAATTTTTTCATATTTCAACCCATTTGAGTTAGCTTACAAACTATTTATTATTACTGTATCTAATTGCATAGTGATGGAAATCATTGTCATATACAAATGCAGACTCCAACATGTTGAAAATTAAGTCCACCTAGAAAAAATATTATATAGATATTGTAGTTAGAACTCCTAATTATTTAGCCACCTTTACCAACTTATGTAATATCATGGAGGATTTTTTCAAATATTTCATTGACTCTATAATCTTTTGAATGATTTTATGAACCTCCTTTAGCCTGGCTTGAACCATTATATTGAAGATATATGTGCAAATTCTCACATAAAAAAATATCATTAAAGTGTAATTTTTCCCATAATAGAAAATTTGCTTAATGAACTAGCTTTTACTTCATTACTATTTACACTATCTGAAGTAATTGTAGAGATTTTGTCTTTAAGTTCTTACTTGAACAAACATTCACAAATAGAATCATACATGTAAGTGTCCGTATGTGGAGGCTCTAACTCAATAAAATTAATGATTACATTCTTCAACTTCCATGTTTCATTGATATAATAGCTAGCTAATAATAGATATGCTATGATTTAATTAGATGCTTAACATAATGTAGTTTTTGACAACCTATGAAAATCTTTAAGGCTACATATAAGCTTTTCTTTCTTACACTCAATATAATTTTACGCAATCATTTTTTATGATGTTCCTTGAAAGTCTTTCAAAGTTAGGATTCAACATTTTCAACAATACATTAAATAAAATATGTTCAAATATCATGAATGAATACTTATGTATAATTATCATTTTGACAATTAACTCTATTATAAGTTACTAATCATAATTTTTTAGATCAAAAAATAGAATATCTGAGTCATTATTAGCTTCACAAAGCAAGAAGTTTGACCTCTTCTGTCTTTTAACAGAGAAGTCAAGGAGTTGTTGAATATTTGCTTTTATCTTGTTACATTTTTTTACATGGCTAAGAAGATGTGAAGTTATGCATTTTTTTGTGTGGATTTTTACCTTGCATCAAATGCATTGGACAAAAGGAACTTTGACCCCCCCTTATAATTAGATTTAACATTCACAATGAACTCTCAAACAATTAATTTTCTCTTCCCATCTTTCTAAGGTTGTATGTTAGTACTAGTAATTTCAATAACAACCTTAATAGATTGAGAAATATTATGAACTGTCTTTCCATCTTATATGACAACTGACATTTGTTGAGCATTATGCAAGGAAAAAGGAGAGAGGGCGGGGGGTGGGGGTGGAGAGAGAGAGATAGAGAGAGAGACTCAAGGATTTTATTTTTCACTTAAGAAATTTAGAATGTTGTCTTCTACCTTTCGAAATACCCCTTTGACTCTATATTTAAGTTTTAAGTGGTACAAAGGATGCTAAACTATAATGTAACAGGTTAATGCATGATATCTTTATTATAGACATACAAACGTAGTGAGATTCTACACTTTAATGTAATTAGTAAATGCATTATACATTTATTATAGACATATGGACGCAGTGATTAGAATTCAAATAAACTAGACAAGTGCCTTTCGAGTTTGAGCTCTCCAAATTAAGGACGTGTCTTACAAACTTAACCCCTCTAACTAGAGCGAGTGCCTTCTAAGCTTAGGCTGAGGGCCTCAAATCTCAATTCTTAGTAAGTTCATCCAATCTTTTCAGCTTTATTATAAATTATATATTTGGAGATACATCAACCACTTCACTTATACATTAGTGTATATTTAGTAAATTTAACAATTAATTTGGAAATATATTTATAATAATCTTATCAAAATTATGTTCTTAAGTACTATCTTGAAAGTATACACTTCATCCTCTCTGCGATTTTATTGTTTTCTTTAATTTTGATTAAACAACCCCATCTCCCTCCTACCCTATCTACCTGCCCGAACTGGCCGACGTATCGCTCCCCTTCTCCTGCCCGAAAAGCTCGCCAACATCCCGATCCCCTCTCCAGGTCTCGCCGCCCATCGCCTTCGTAACCGAACTCTCGCGATACAGTCGACATTAGAGCTAACTGGGAAGGCAACGACGGGATCGCGGCGTACAGAGCCCCCCAAACTCCCATCTTTCTTCTCCTTCCGCACCGCTTCTATCCGAAACCATGGAGGCAGATGGAGGAAGGAAAGTTTGCATCTTCCTTTACCAGATAGCCCCTCAATGATGCAAATAATTCAGATTGATGTTTTTTTCTGTATCAATTCGAAGTATTGATCCGGTAAGCTGTCAAGACTGCTCTGTATCCTGTGAATATATTGGAATTGCATCCGTTGGGATTTGAGCTTCATCGGAACTAGGGAAATTGCTGTCTATGGCCGGGAAAGTGGAGCAAGGGAATGAGAATTGGCTCTCTGCTGTGGTGCCCCTTTTGAAGCTCTTGTGTCTCACTGTCATTGGCATCATACTCGCCCACCCCAAAACTCGAATTGTTCCCCGTGCTACCCTCAAGCTTCTAAGCAAGCTTGTCTTCGCTCTCTTCCTTCCATGCCTCATATTCGTCCACCTTGGCGAATCCATCACCTTGGAAGAGGCCCTTCAGTGGTGGTTTGTGCCGGTTAATGTGCTCATTAGCACCGCAATCGGTTGTGTTCTTGGATATGTTGTGGCAATCATTTGCAAGCCGCCGCCGCAGTTCTTTAGATTGACGGTGATCATGACTGGATTTGGTAACACTGGAAATATTCCCATAGCCATTATTGGATCTGTATGCCACAGCTCAAATCAACCCTTTGGCCCTCAATGTCGTCAAACAGGCGTTGCCTATGTCTCTTTCGCCCAATGGGTTGCGGTAATTCTTGCGTACACCTTGGTATACCATATGATGGAGCCCCCTATGGAGTATTATGAGATTGTGGCAGAGGAAAATGAGATTGAGGAAGAGCATGCTGCTAGTAATATTAGCAGGCCTTTGCTCCAAGAAGCAGAGTGGCCTGGCATGGAGGAGAAGGAAACCGTGAATTCGAAGATTCCGTTCATTGCGAGGGTCTTCGCTAGTATGTCAGGTTCATCACAAAGCACCATCCCTGATTTAGATCTAACTGAAGTGGGAGGCATATATCCTGCTCCAAACAGTCCAAAGTCTATAAGGTGCTTGGCAGAACCGAGGGTTGTCCGGAGGATGAGAATTGTTGTAGAAGAAACTCCTATCCGACATATTCTTCAGCCTCCTACAATTGCGTCTCTGCTGGCCATTATTGTTGGGATGGTTCCTCTATTTAGGAATTTTGTATTCGGGAGCGATGCACCGCTGTCGTTTTTCACTGACAGTTTGGAGATCTTGGCAGGAGCAGTTGTTCCTTCGGTGATGCTAATTCTTGGAGGAATGCTAGCCGAAGGACCGAACGAGTCGTCTCTTGGAATCAGAACAACAATTGGTATTATTGCTGCAAGGCTTTTGATTCTGCCATTTATTGGAATAGGGGTGGTGGCTACTGCAGACAAGTTGCATCTTTTGTTACAAGAAGGTCAGATGTACAGATTTGTTCTCCTGTTGCAGTATACCATGCCGACTGCCATCTTGTTGGGAGCCATTGCAAGCTTGAGGGGTTATGGTGTAAAGGAAGTTTCAGCTCTATTATTTTGGCAGCATATCCTGGCTCTTTTATCACTCTCTGTGTACATTGTTATCTACTTCAAGTTGCTTTCGGATGTGTGAGGTCAGGATCTTTCATTTCTTTCCTGCGCATTTGAAGATCTAATAGTACTAAACTTTTTAAATTAATTTGTCTGTACTCATATTGCTGTATACTTGCCCCTCTTATCAATTTGTGTATCTTTTTCTCTTTCTACTTTGTTCTTCATTATATTTTAGATAATAACCACCAATTTATTGCTCCCATCATCTTTTTTTTTTCAAGTTATTCTAGTTAATGTTTGCGTCACTTTCATTTTAGTTATTTTTGGTCAATTGACATGGTACCTGTATGATGATACAAACCATGCATTATTAGAAAAGATTAAGGGTCTGTTTTGGGGCGGCTTATAAGTGCGGGTGGCGTTTTCGAATTGCTGTCTCACCGTTTGTTTCGCATGTTTGAACTGAGTATCCTAAAATGGCGTTCTGTAATTTCTTATCAACGCGATCGCAGTTATACCCGCAATCCGCTTTCGTCTGCACTTATTTTATCCCCCTGCCCTCGCTCGCTCACGGAACCTACTCCACTCTTCTACCGAAAGCTAGGCGAAGCCATTCTTGATGACCAAGAAATTAAAGTTGGATCCTCGCATCTATACTCTTTCGTCATTTTCTTCACTACAAAAACTAATTGAGGACAAGGCAGCTCATTGACTTATCAAACCAATGCTTCAGACTTGATTTATATGAAATCCTTTCTTGGTGATATCAACTTGTCGAGCAATTGATTCTCCTTAAGGTTGTGTTTTTCTTTTAGATCTCGGACTTCAATTCATGCCTTGCGAGTATTCTGCTGTTTTTTTTAGCATTTGCGGGATTCTTTACCGGAATTTCATCATTCATATCTCCTATATATTTGACTGTTTATATTACGCTTATGCATTGAATGTCTCATAATTTATAGAATGAATCTCGTGTGGGTTGAATAATAATAATAATGATTAGTGGTACACTTAGGTCTCTTTTCGAATTACTATGTTTTGGAGCGCTTGATGGAATTGTTTTCTTTTATCAAGGAGGCTTTTCTTCAAAAATTGGAAATATTTCGCTGCTCCTATTGAATTCCTTATATATCTGACTCACGTCTTACTGTTTATTGTTCTTCCCAACTTTTCTTTCATATTATATACTACTGGTATTTCTCTAGAATAATTTCATGATAAGTAATTTAATTAATAAATTTCTCATGCTGATAAGTTATTTTATTTGTATGAGATATTATTTTTCTGTCAGTTAGCTTTTATTAAAGGTTCTATTTTTGCTCTTTCAATTAAATTTCTTCTACAGCTGCGTTGTCATTTTGAATTTCTGCTTCTTAGCGTCTCGTTCTATGAAAATTCTGGTAAGACTCTAGGATTTCTTACAATGTTCTTAATGCAGTCATAAATCTTATGCTCGTGGGTTCTGTAATTTGGACATTTCTGTTTAGAATATACTGAGGTTGTCATCTGCCAATTTTGAAACAAAATTGAGGTATCTATAGTGAAATTTGGGGTTGCTTTGTTTCCATACAATAAGAAGTCATTTGTCGGTAATAAATCTCTCACCAAGTATTTGTTCCCCTCCTCTCCAAAAGGCTGGTAACATCCTCATAACTTTTTGTTTATCATACATAGTGATATCATAACACTTCTGCATTAAACGTTCAGAGCCGCACTATCTTCCCATATAAAATTTCAACTTATATTATTGATAATAAGCATTTTGATTTTAAATTAAAGGATTCATCTATGAGCATTGTTCTGTAAAAATTGAACCTTCAAGAGGTGATCTTTTTTTTCCTATTTTTTTATGTTGATTATATTCATAAAAACTTAATTGGATTATGTGAATTACATTTTTTGGATTCAACATCATTGATTTTCCACTCCTTATCTATTTTACGTCATGTCTCATATGAGATGTTGCAGGATAAATGAGCAGTGCAAGTAAATGGGAAAGAGCTTGCATGAAATTCCAATATCATGCTCTTAAGTGAATGAACTAATATTTAACTTGTATGGGATGCAAAATTATCAATGTTTTTTATCTTTGCGATTATTTTTAATCATTGAGTCTTTGTTACATAGAATTAATTGTATATGAATTTTGGCTTACATGAAAGAGAATCCTTTGTCAATGCTAGACCTTGAAACAATCTCATGCAATTCACCCAGTTATAAATTCGTCTTGCAATATAGAAGAGCCATTAGTTTTTGTTTGAAGCAAAAGATTAGGAACCCTTGTACATTTCATTTTGGTCAAATAAACCATTAGGTTTTTTACATGGCATCCTATTTTTATGTTTTTGGTCTGTGAGTAGAGGCCCTTTTATATACTATAAGAGTTCAAATATTAAAGTCATCTGCAAACTGTGACGAGCCTAAACAAATAAGAGTTATTCTTTTGGACAAAAAAATCATCCTTATGTTAAAATAATCGTGGGATGATTCTTACAGCTTCCAGCATTAAAGATGGTTGTTAAAAATTTGTTCTTCATTCTCATCATACTAGCGTGTTGTGTTTGTATCCGGTGAAAGCAAAAATAGTAATGAGCATTAATACAAAGCTACTATTAAACTAGCATAATACAACACTCTTATATGTTGTTGGATTTATGCTAAACTGTTCTCTGATTTATGCTAAACAACATTGTTGCATAGGGGCAGAATGGTCATTTATTCAAAAACAACCGCAAATCAGCTGTTTTTCAAACGCACAAACCAAACTGATAGTCAGCTTATCCAGATCAGCTCCTGATAAGCAGGATAAGTTGTTTATCTGAATAAGCTGGATAAACTGCAGCTGCCCCAAACAGAGTTCTTCTCTTGTCATTGCCTTTAAGTAGCCTATATTTTTAACAATTAGCCATGCTGTTGATTTGCTGTTTGCAATTAGTTATTCAGTTACTGCTCTAAACATTTTGTTGCTTTAACCATGTTGAATGAAGCACAACATCCAAATCGAACCTTTAAATCTCTACAACCCTTATTGTTTTCATAGTGTTTGGTGATCTTGTTTTTGTTCATCCAGAGGCGCCTTTGAGAGTTATATGTGAGCTTGACATTGATAATTATTTCAGAGGTTAGGGATTATGAAAAGTAAAAAAGAAAAAAAGTGATGAGATGATAGGGAGAGAAAGGAAGCGATAATGGAATAATCAATTAGAAGTTTCTTGCTGTTCTTACACTTGAAGCACTTGAGCTCTGAATGATTTCTTTCCTATTGACTAGTCTTATATGCAAATAGGGTTTTAGGAAGTCCAAAAGTTGTTTCTTTATTATAAATTCTAGGAGCCTAAAGTTTTAAGGAGGTTTGATGCATTTCATAGCTTTTATTTTTGTTATCCACCTTCCTTTTGTGATAAGGTTGGTAGAAGGCAAAGAGAATTAGCCATTTAGCACCAACCTGGTGTTGCCTCTCAGTTATTACCAATTTTTTTATCCCAATTGTCTTATTGGAAGTTTTACCATTTAATATATAGATTCTAAGGTAATCATGTGAACCTAATTAGATGGTCAATGGTGCGTATTTAAACAAAAAACCAATTCCCTTCTTATTAACCTTGATTTACATGTTTCTGTGTGATTATGAGCGTAATAATTGCTTAAAAAAATCAAATAAATGTCACATAAGAGCGTTTTGATGCAAGGAAAAATGTGCAAATAAAACATAAAGGTATGTTTTTTGTGGTTTGGCCTAACTGCCAACATTCACATATAAGCAACTTGAACATTTCACTATTTTTTTTTTCAACCTTATTATTCCACTAAAAATTACTCATTTGCTTTTAAAGCCAGTAGAAAAATCATTATAACATGTCCTTACTCTCCTTCAAGGAAGAGTACAAATCCATTAGTACAAAGCATCTTTTTAGAGGGTGTCCGCCCTCTTTGAGTCTTCCGACCAAAATTAAGTAACTTATTGCAAGAGTATAAGTTCAAAATGAAATTAAAAATAGTAAAATAGAGCTTTTTCTTCAGCTTTATCTACAGTAGAGCTCAATTGAAAGAGGTATTGCAGGTTTTGATTACTATGAGCTCAGAGATCTTTAAATAGTGAACTTTAGGGTTTTAAGAGAGTATAACATTTATGAGCATCCGATACATTCTGACAACCACAAATCATTGAGCATTTATAGGATGGATAGTAGGGGATAAATTGCATGAAGAAACTTTTACCCATACCTCTAAAATACCGTAAATTACTCCACTAGCCGTTAAAAAACTATTTTTTACTATACTGGTCATAGAGTCCATTGGAGCCTATCAACATATTCAGAGGGGTATATCAAAGTTTAAATTGTTGGGAGATCATTTAACTTATAATTCATGTTGTATACCCTGAGGGCATAATTGCCCAGGTAGGAGGAGGGGGTGCAATTGGCATGTGAGACTAGCAAAGATCTCATAAAATTGGATTGAGGATGAACTCATCAGGTCAAGTTCCAGGTGGTTTTGCTAACCGAATCCAAGATCAAGGCAGGCTCATCAGCTGGCTACAGGAATACATCCACTAAGCTCATGGAAAACTCACCCGATGCCATCAACGGGCTCTCAGGAACGACATAATTCAGATAGCCACCCAAGCTCGGAGAGCTACCCAATAACTATCAGCCGAAGATCTAGCTATTTCTCCAGTTTCGATGGTAAATGCCAATCCAAGTTTTTACTTCGGATGTACACCTCGAGTATTTTTTATATCTTTAGATGTATGGCTATCCTACTACTTTTTTTATAGCTTTTGGATTCCTACCTAAAAATAAGCGATCTCAGGGAAAGCCAAATTTCTGCATTCCTTCTGCATTATAGCTTCTTGAGTATCATAGTGGATTTTTGAACAGCTACTCACCTCTGTTTTCCCTTCTGTCTTCCTCTATATTAGTAAGATTTTGTTATAATCCATGAGCAAAATAGGATCTAACACATGGTGCCTCCTCAACTCATTCATGTTATGTTGTCTACTTAAAGATAATAATGCTGCTTATAGCTCATTTTAAATGTATTTTATCATACTTCTTAATTATAATAATGTGTTATGAATAGGATTAGGATATATAATTAAAAACTAATATTAGTTTGAGTAGGTTTAGTGTATTGATGATCTTTTGAGTCTTAGATATCAAGCATATCAATATATCATCCACATATGCATTAAAAAGTCAAAACTATGCACCTAGAACTTAGTTACAATGCTTTTGAACAAATCATAGATGAGATGCCATGTTATGTTCCACTTTCCATACGGTTTTGCATGCTCTATCCTAATTTAGTATTGAATACCTAAACTTCTCTGCACATGCTGCTTCATGTTTAACTATACTATATATATATATATATATATATCGTGCGCTTTTGGGTGACAAGTTAGTAGACAACTGTCAGTCGTAAGACCCATCCGATCCGGGTTCGATCCCTATAGGGACGGATAACACATATGAGGAGCGGTATTCTCAAATACCACTTTTTTAAACAAATATATATATATATATATATATATATAAAGTGAAGTGTCAAAATGGTCTCCAAACTATTTACATGGGGTCATTTTAGTCCCAATCTATAAAATATCAAATTAGTCCGCAGTTTCCTCTTGGGACTAAAATGACTCCCTCCAAAGATTCCCCGCCCCCTCATATATATATATATACACACAAACAACACAATTCTTATGAATTTACATATCTACCACCTAATACTCATGTCACATCAAAAATACTAGTGTCATTACCATTTAAAAAATGAAATACAACTTTTCATAGGTAAAGTGACAAATTTTGGATTTTAGTTATGTAAATTCATAGAAATTATATGGCATGTATGTAAATCTTCCATACGGAATTGGACTCACCACCTTATAATTCTTGGACAGGTGCTGCTTATAAAGTACTGAAGGATTAGTAGATTGCCGATGAGTGGGTCAGGAGCAGGTCAGCAAAGTAATGGTAAAGGTAAAATGTGCCGCGCTACACGATTAGACCTCCTGTAGCTGTAGCTGTTTCCTGTAATATTATAGATTGTTTGATGAATATTTTTATGAATGAACGTTGTCGTGAGACATTTTTAAATTGTGATATCAATTGCTTATGATGAAATACATTTGCATGCATACCTGCCACTCAATTCCTATGTATTTACATTTCTAACACCTAAACTTTAATTTTTACATATATACCATCCTATCCATCATTGAAAAAATGTATTCAACTTTTTAAAAGTTATAAAATAGTGATATTTTTATGACTGAGGATTTTGGGAGTGAAACATTGCATCATAGTATGATTTGAAGCAAAATTGTAGGTTCTTTAAACCTCAAATGATAAAGCAATTTGTTATAAAGATAAGATGAGGATCATCCTCTAACTTGAATGCCATATTCAAGTTCTAGAGGAACATTGGATTTTTTTTCCTTAGTTTTAATTTCATTAATATATTGTGAAGTATGGCTTTGATCAACAATACATAATATTATTTTGTGTACTTTCATCTTTTCTAAGCAAGTTTTTAATGAAAACCATACATTTTTAAAATGCCACAATTTCAACATATTTTGGAGTGTCATTTAAACTATTTTTGGAAAAGAATTTTCAAATTATTTAAGAATTAAAGGATACGAGTAGCATGAAATAAGAATATATTTCATTTTGTCTTATAAGTCATTTTCAAATGTAAGTACATCATTATTTATGTGTGTTTGTATACTATAAAACAAAACTACATGTTTTATGATGTTATGTAGGGGCATGTACCCTATCTCTAAGGTAGTAATAGAAGATATATTTGAAGAAGGCAAGTTGCACATAAAATTTTGTGAACACGGTTTATTAAACAAGTCCTCCTATGATTTTCAATATTTTTTTTTCAAAAGGGGGCATAGGATAAATATTCTCATCCACATTTCACTTTAGAGAAGCATTATGTCAACCTCTTCCCTTGTTATTCATCTCATCTCCTTTATTAAAAGAGAATAATCATAAAGGAAAAGGAACCTATTTATAATCTAAATTTAGAGGAGAGATCAAGTGAATGCATTTGACTTTTCTTCAGCATAAAATAATTCATATCAAATATGCTTATCTTAGGGTTAGAAGTTTAATAGTTCTAATTGTAAAATATTGATAAAGAACCCAAGGTTTATCAAGATATGATTTAAAGTATTACTATATATTAAGGTAGTGACGTGTCAGGGTACATTATGATCTATTACCTTAAATAATAAATAATTATTTAAATCACATCAAAAGATTCTCACAAGAAAGAACTTTCATTTTTTCCTTGATAAAGTAAGATTGCAATACTTTAGGTTTAAGGAATTTTTTTATTAGTCTCAAGAAATTTTGGTGGCAAGGCTAGAGCATCATAAATACTTACTCAAAAGAACATGCATCTCTTCCACACTCATAGGTAATGAGGTTCTTCTTCTTCTTCTTCTTCTTAAGAATCATATTATTCATTTCATTAATATCAGTATCTTCTTCTTCTTCTTCTTCTTCTTCTTCTTCTTCTTAAGAATCGTATTATTCATTTCATTAATATCAGTATAAAATATAAGATAAGAATAGTATTATTCATTTCATTCTTCTTCTTCATTTAATCATACACACCACTTCATGTAGAATAAACTCTATAATAAAGGGTCAAGCTTTACGATAACTAATGAAAGTAGAATCACCATAAGATAATATACAATAGAAAATGTATTTGAATATAAAAACATTCCAACATAAATATCTAGAACTATAGCTAGAAATTGATATTATAATTTGTCATGTCTAGCTAGGAATTATGACTAGGCATTCAACTAGAGGATCGATTAGATATATAACTAACCCTACCAATACATTGCTAGATCAACTAAGATGTCAATTGAATATAGTACCATAATCAAAAGAATCTTAACCAAGAAAGAAACCTATATTAAAGGATTAATTAGAAATTACTAAAATTAATTAATCTTTAATTATAATATAATTTTCTAACATGTCACAAAATTATGTGGAAAGGAAAGGATAGTATAACAAAGCACTCGAGGTTTAAAGAGATAGTATAACAAAGCATTTCGATGTCCTGCATACCACTAAAATGCAAAACCAGGCGAGAATGTAACAAAGAGATGGTATAACTAAGCATAATTATTCTAATATTATAGCATAAAGCTCAAATTTGAATAATATTCTATCTTAGAATCTATTTTTTTATCAAACTAAATGAAAGATGTGGGCATGAAGCCATTATGATAAGATACATCTTCATTTTTTTTTTCTAAAAATGATTAGCCTTTCTTCATATTGGGTTCTCAATATCATGCTTTCATGGTAGTTTTAACTTTGTATCTTTACCATTGATTGGGTATGAGCATCAGTTAAGACATAAAATGAGGTAAAATAAAAGAAATATTAAAAAAATAAAAAAGTCAAGAAAAAGAAGAAGAAAATCTATTATGAGTCTGCTTTTTATCTCTTAAAAAATATATAAGTTGTGCTTCTACAAATATTTTTTTGATAAAATGAAAAGACATGTAGAGTTGATATTGGATTGCTTATTTTGTTAGTGATGTAATAAGCAACATTTAATGGTCTTCTCCTTATGGAGGCTAGGTCATCCTTCCACTAAAATGATACTTTGATTTTCCTCCACTTTCACCAGCCTAAAGAGGCAACTACATCTATAAGTCAATCAATCATATGAAACATCAAAATAAAATAAAAAAGGTAAACTAAAATTTAATTTTTATAATTATTCTTAAGAAATTCTAATAAATATAGTGAAATTTAAATGGCATTTAAGTGGCTCACTAGTTTATCAAGGCAGACTCCATTTAAATGTTTAATTAATTATAAAAAAAATAAGCATAATGAAGAAACAAGATGCATTCAAAACTCTCAAGATTTACTAAGAGAGGCAAAACAATTATTCTATCTAGTAAACAATTTATAAGCCCTTAAATTAAGAAAGAAAAATGCATTAAATAAGAAGTTTCATTCAAACTAACACATTTTATTTCTTACAAGGAAATAAAACTTTAGGAATGACTTTGGAGAAATGAGCACCCACCAATTTGGTTACTAAAAACACTAGATCCTAAAAAGATGCAAAAGTAGATCAAGTGTTATCTTCCATGAAATTAACCTTGGATAAATTAACCATTAAAAAATGAATTTGATCACCATGTCAGAATTGACTAGATCTTAAAAATCTTATAAAATTATGCATAGAGATGACCTCAATCATTAAACCATGAATTTCTTAGTGCAAATCATTAGTGGCATCATTGACATTATATTAGGAGAACAAAATATTCAAGCTTCACTTTTAATAGATTAAGCTAACTTCTTAGTATCAACAAAAAACTCTATTTACACCAAATTTATCCAAACATTTGAACCTATGAGTAAGCATGAGCCTAGTAAATATTTACATCTTTCTGTATAAGTTTACTTGTATTATACTAAAATATTATCCTTCAACCCTAATCTATAAATACAAGATCGGAGAAGAGCTTGGAGCACCTGTTAAAGTTTTCATTAAAAAAATAATAGATGTTCTCAATGGAGATGAAGCATATAAGAATGGCATTATATTGACTGCTTGTAAATTTTGAGAAATATAAATGCCATCCTTTGACCACTACTTTTACCTATTAAAGACATTTCAATGCTATTCAATTCATGCAGAACCATAAATAGATCATACTTTTCCTCTGAACTACCCCCAACAATTTTTAATTTTCAAAATATTTTAAAAATACCAATTTATTTGCTTCCAAATAGCCACCTATTCCTTATTAACAAAACCTAAATTAAAGAAAAGCAGGCATTTAGACAAATATGAAATTACACACAAATTCTCTTTCTAGTTTTAACCAAGGAGCAAGAAAACGTACTATCATTTATTTCACCATGAGTTGGGCTTTCTTATTCAGCAACTAACATAAGCTCCCTCTTCTTCTTCTGCTATCTCATTATTATGAGGAGCGACCGAAGAACTACCATGTGACTCAATATCCTGACCTGAGTTTGAAGAACCAGCAGCAATTCCATCATTGGGTGTCTTCTCCGCATTAGAATGCTGCTCCTGAATAGGTGGTGATGGTTTTAGGTGTCTGATGGCAGCTGCAGACTCGGGTAAGGCAACAGAAGGTGGCTGGGGAGGGACCCATACTCGTTGGCTCGAGGGCTTCACGCTGGCACCAGTGCTGTAAGGGATTTTTCTTAATGGCTCCTCATCTTCAGACTCTAGTTCTGTGATCTTAACAGACTTGTTTCTCGACCAAGGGTCCGAAGAAACATCTTGAGATTGTCCATTCTCTACATGACTTTGTTGGGAAAATTCCCATGGCTGTTTGAAAGAATATCCACCCAAATGAGATAGTAGTGAACTATTAACACAATTTTTTTAAAAAAAAAAATCTTATAAGAGAACATGCTCCAGACCTTCTTTTTTGGCGCTATGAGTGGTTTAGATGGTGATTGATTAGGATTTGGGGGTGAATCGTCGATCTCCTGAGTATCAGTAAATTAAAAGTTGTTTCATATCCAGTTGTATGAAGCAAGTCAAGCCCACATGAGAAAAAGAGTTGGGGAAAGCATTATATACCCTTATGTTTGAGGGTATCTCTCCTTTTTGAACCATAGCCATGATCTGGAAAATCAATATTTTAAGCTTTTTATTGAAATTTTACCAAAGTAAAGAGAGAAAGAGAGATAGACAGAGATAGTTCTGAATAAGAAATGAGGTATATGATTATATGGAATTCAGATGAGCATTATTTTGGAATGTAATTAGATGCCTGCAGAGTAGAAACACAAAAAATGTTAAATTGCAGATATTATTAGCCCACATAATGGTTACATAGAAGTAGTAGATCATACTGTGAATAAATGTCCTCATTTTCATTGCCCGATGAATTATAACAGAAAAACAATAGAAATTTGATTTGGGAATGCTAAAATGCAGTTGCAAAAAAATAAATGACGTCCCGAAAAACAAGTTTATTTTCATAATGAAGAAATAGGAAGGGGATTTAAATCAAGAAATTTGACCACTAACAAACTTTCCTATATAAACCATTCAAATAAGTTTGCTTTAGAATTGAAGATAAAGAGCAAGAAAATGGAGTTCCTTTGCATGTACAAATAATGATATTGTGCAATTCTCTACGCTCTTACCTCCATATATGATTTTGGGTGAGGAGCAGTCATGGGCTCCGCAGAAGTAGATGCTAACGATTGAGGAGCTGCCCAATAATATTTAATATGAACGATCAAAATAATATATTCCCCATGAAAACGGTCAAAAAAAAAAAAACAAAACAAAACAAAACAAAAATCAAAAATGATTAAAATAGTATGAACCTTTTCCATATTCAGCATTTGGTGTGCCATTAACTTTAACGTGCTGTAAGATAGTTTTAGAAGGTGAGTAAGACAGCAAAAAAATGAATCCAACAAGTCTATATTTACATTTGGTGTTGTATCTGTTTGGTGGACCTGTGAAGAATTCCAAGAGTTGTTTGTAGTCCCTGAACGTTTAACAAGAATAAAGATCAGTAGTAGTGAAACAAACACTCAAGGCTTGTTTGGGATCACTTTTGGGGCTGCTTGAGATCACTTTTATTTTTTATTTTTTTAATGTTTATTTTGTTTTTTTTATATTTTGATTTAAAATAAGACACGTTTAATACGGCATAACATGTTTAAGTGTTTATAATAAAATAAAATAAAATAAAATAAAAGTGATCCCAAACAAGCCCTTTGTTATTTCTTCTTTGTTTTTCCTTTTATTTTACATGTTTGTTCTTCAAAAACAAACTAGCTTATTTTTAAAGATGCTAAACATCTAAAAGTTATTTTGAGTGTTTTTAAAAATAACTTAAAATTGTATAACATATCAAATATGTTTTATTTCAAGTAAATAAAAATAATAATGATAAAAAAAATGAAGAAAATCCCAAATGGCTCTTAAGTTATATCAAGTGCAACTAATTAGATATAAATGTACTGTTAAATGAGAACAGCCATACGAAAACAATATTCCTATTGAAAGCTTAAACATGAAAGAAAAAGCTTCAATAGGATATTGAAGTACAGATGTTCGAAGGCAGATGAGATGAGTAGCTTACCATTCGCCAAAGCGGACTGGAAATACTCTTCTATCAGCCGGTCTTGCTCTCTTGTCTTTTCCAATTTACGAATAGCTTCATTCATGGTTTTAATTTCCTTTACTTGCACTTCTATCATTCCCATAAAAGCTTCGAAATATTTTCGATCTAAGAAAAAAGTAAAATAGCTTTATTACAAATTTACAATGCAACTAAATATCATAAAAAGAGAAATGTTAACTGAAGAATAAGGTACAGAACAGCATAGTTAATTTACAAAATTACCTTCATTTTTTGAATTTAACAATTCTTGACTAGCTGTTGCAACTATAGCCGCAGCTGAGGCAGCTGCTTTGGCTGCTTCAGCTGTTTCTTCAGCCAGGCTTTTACTAGATTTGTCTTCTTTCTCGGAAGCATCATCCTCAGCTGTCACTTTTCTAATCCATGCTTTTAATCTAGGAAGAACCACTTTCTGAAAGCGGGAAATGAGGCACATGATTAAAAAAACAAACCTGAATGAGATTATTATAATTCAGAAGATTCAACATAAATAAATAAATGAAAACAAAAGCAAGCATAACAAGGTCTAGGCACAATATCACAAAATAGTACAATATAACAGTAAGTATAGAGACTATTAAATGACATAACCAACAAAAAACTTAAGGGGCATTTACATACATACCACTCAATTGCTATATAATTACATATCTAACACCAAAACTCTACTTTTTACATTTATAACACCCACATCTTTTATGTCACATAAAAAATATCACTCTTTTGATTTCTAAAAAGTGAAATCCACCTTTCCATGCATAGTAAGGCGGCATATATGTAAAAGTTGAAGTTTAGATGTTAAGACATGTAAATACATAGGAATTGAGTGGTACGTATGTAAATCTTCCAAACCTTAAAGAGCACGGCAGTTCCAGCTCCAGAAGCAGAAAGCACTCCAATAGCAAATAAAGCATAGGACCAATTGAATCTACGTTGATGGAAAGTTGTAGACAAAGGAACAACACCAGCTTGAACGGGGAGAGGTTGAATGGCAGCTTCGGGCTGCAGGTTAAGAGTTGTTCTCGGCTGAGTAGCTATCACATCCAAATCACCACAAAAGTCGTTAAACATCAAGGAAAAATAGCTTCTATAAATTTGTAATGCCATAATAGAATCATAAGAACTGTGACAAGAGAAGATAGGACATGTAGACGGAATGTTTGGATAGGTTTATAGATTCTAGAATTTGAGTCTCCCCAATTTCAAAATTCATGCTAAGGGCATTTACATAAATACCAACCAATTAATATGTATTTACATATCTAACATGTATACTTTGCTTTTGACATTTATAGCACCACAATCTTTCATATCACATCAAAATATCACTATTTAACGACTTAAAAAGTGGAATACACCTTTTCTTGCATAAGTAAGGTGGTACGTATTTAAAAATTGAAGTTCAGGTGTTAGATATATAAATATAAAAATAAGGTTTAGGTGTTGGATATGTAAATATATAAGGTTTGGTTGCTATGTATGCAAATGCCCCTTCACTTTAACACTCCTGATAAAATTACAACCGAGTTTTTAACAAACCCAACCTCTTCAAACCAAAATACATGTGCAACTCTGAAGATTAAATTAAGAAACATTCCAATACGAAGTCAAATAATTTAAATTATTACCCAGATTTGTGGCTCCAGAATCAGAAGCTGTAGCATTCGGAGGTGGATCCTGTAGATACTTAAAGCATATGGTAAAATATATACAGGGAAAAACTAAAAAATGAAAAAAAGTAACATAACCATAAAAGCTTAAAAAAAAAAAAAAAGATTACAGGCACACGGTTAAACGCTTCATCTATTTCATCCTTTGTTAGGCCTTTCCTCTCTAGAAAAGAGCGCCTGTAAATGACAGGCGAACCTCTCACTTTTGGATGTGACAAAAACTTGACAGCATTTTGCACTTCTTCTTCTCTTATTGGTTCTGGGGTTATAAATGGCAGATTTTGCTGAGATCCATCAGCAGCCTGACTCATTGAAATTTCATCTATTGGTTGTGATAGTTCAGGCCCTTAAAGAAAAGAGAATTTATTATCATATCAGTTTATTGAAATATTTTATGTATAGCTAAATGTATGAAAAACAACAGAGAAATAAAAGACGATATATTATTAAAGTTAGTTATGTTGTATGCCAGCTATGGAACCAGCTGAAATTCCTTATTATAATCTAAAACCCTAACTAAATAGAATAAACCTATTAACATGATGGATATTAGGAGAACATGACAAAAAATTTGTTTGACAACATCGCAAATGCATGATGTGCAGTTTCATTAAATAAGTACTTTGAAAACAGCTGAATTTATAATAATTTAATAAACAAATAAATAACAAGTGGGTATCGATTCGATGTAATTTACATGAGTTATTTGATTTAAATACTATGTTTTCTTTCATATTTATCATGATTTTATGCTTATGGAAGGTTATTCGATGGTATTTTGCAGGTTATTGGAGTTGAAAATGTGTTGCGAAGCTAAAACACAAGCGGGCAAAAATGCTGGATTAGCGCAATTACACCAGTTTCTCTATGTGTCTAGCATAATTACACCAACCTCTCTGTGTGATTGCCATAATTATGCCAAGATCATGCATAGCTATGCGGTCTGCGACATAACTATGCCCGACTCAGGCATAGCTATGCCAAGACCAACCGAAGTCTTATTTTGGCATCTTTTTGCATCCAAATTTGACAAGTGATGTATAAAAAGATGAATTTGAACGCCCTAAGAGAGTTTGGCAGCAGTTTGGAGGTTTCTTTCAGCAAGAGTTTGGCTTTCTTTATCAAACCTTGAGGTTTCTCCTCCTCCTTCCTTGAGGAGATACTCGTAAGATTAGTTTTCCTTTGACATTTGAGAGGTTGTGTATGAGAGAGAGATTGAGTGGTGTGGTGTGAGGAAGATAGAGGAGACCATTTCATTGTACGAAGAGGATGAGATGTAATGGGGAGAAAACTTGGCTTAGTTGTAAGTTTATGTACCTTTTTGCATTTATATCTTCAATATTTGTAATGAAATATATCATGCTTTTCTATCTCATGTTTCGTAGCTAATCTGCTTTCATGCTCATGTGATGTAAAGATAGAGTTTTGCTCATTATTTTTACAATGACTTTTTTTCGTAAACGTTTTTTGTGCCTTTAAATTTTCTATGTTGATGTGTTAACTTTTTTGCCCTAATTTAATTCGAATCAGACATGATGGAATGTTAAATCACTTGTGATCCATAACTTATAACCATCACTTAGAAGAATAAGTAGGTTAACACACAATAGTCTCATGAAATAAATACACTGTCATTAGGAAATTGCAGCCAAGATAGGAGATCTGAAGAAACTTGAGAAACATTGTATGTTTAAATCTCTTTTAATTGTATTTTTCAACTCTTCTTATGGCCTAGACATAGGGGATGGAGAATTATGACTTTGATTGTCAACCATAACGTAGGGGAACTCATAGGAAACATAGAAAGTTGTACCGATGTCACAGGAGCATAAGTCTCATTACTTCTAAATGACTCAAAGTTTCACACTGCCTTTTATATTATTGTCATTTATGTTCACTGCACTTTTATGATTGTTAGGATCTTCGTTCCTGTTAATTGATCACTTCAAACTAGATTCAACAATTTAGCATCCTAAAACTTCATCTGTTAGAAATATTTTGACAACTCTCATTGTAGAATTGCTATGCAAATTTTTTATTTGTACATTACTTAATTGGCCGACTTGTCTTATAGAATTTGGAAGATAGTCATATGTAATCAGTTACAAATGATTTATATCTTATGAGATTAAATCAACCAAAATGGGGATCACGCATAAATAAACTACAAATCTAAGAAATTAAAAGCATGTAATTTTGATGAAAAATATGAGAGATATGCCCAAATTATTGACAAGGGGTCAAGAGAATTCCAAGATTCAGAAATAAATTTCAAATCTTTCTCACATCAAAGATGGACTCTTAATATATCTTAAAATACTCAATGACTCCTTGTTTGTTTCAACACCTGAAGATGATAATGTGAGTCATGCTCTGAGGAATGCAAAGTGAGGAGACAAAGTCCATGTTTAAGCAATCCCCAAATAACAAGCATAGTCCATAATACAGAGGTCAACATGTACATTGTTTAAGATTATCTATTCAGCAACATTTGAAACTTGAAATGCAATAGAACTTAAAATTTCATCTCACCCAATGTGGTTTAGTATAATGATTACATTTTTACTCAAATGCCTTCTTGATGATAGAAATAAGTTTATTTAGAGATAATATTATTATAATTTCACTTCTTATTTTGCCTAGGGGAGTGCCTATAATGGTTCCAAACAACTTGGGCATTGGAACCAAAGACAATCAATAAGATGCATATCTTTTTATATATCACTTTTTTATTTTCCCCAAGGCAAATCTTTATAATCCACCATTAGCGGTGGATACAATATTATCATTTCGCACAACTTCAGGAACAAAATACGTAGAATTGTCTAGTAACGTGTTAGTTGGGAATTTATAAGCAGAAAGAGGGACAAAATCATAATATTTGATGCTATTTATGAAAAAAGTCAAATTAGATAAATTGAATAAATCAAGACCTAAGCTTTAAAATCATGTCTTATTCCAAGTAAGGCTTCTTGCCATTTCGATATCATAGAAGTGATCTTAATATATCTTCACATATACAATGACTCGGCGTAATGTCAAGAATTTAGGGTAATAATGTGCATCGGGCTGCAAGGTATGCAGTGAAAAAGAAAAGTAGCATAATAACAATGTATTGTATCGAGAATATATTGAAGTTGTTTGGTTTTCAGTGTAAAATAAAAGCAAGATTGCACATTTTTATGTTTGATTTGAAGAAAAATAAAATCAATATAAAATACAATGTCGGTCGGCGGCCACAAGTAATGGACGACAGTCTATGGCAACGACAGTTGCGACTGGTAAACGGCAGGCAAGAGGGCAGTGGCAATAACGACAAGCTGCTGCGGTGGTGGCAATGACAAACTACGGATGGAGGCAAAAAGAGTGGCAAGCTATGAGCAGTATCGGGTGGTGGGCGGTGGGTAGTGGGTGGCGGGAGAGCAATAGCACCAGCGGGCCACAATGGAAGCAAATGGTTGGCGGGAATGAGTGGTGGTAGGAACGGTGGGTTGAAGGTTCGGCGACAACAAGCAATACCTAACATAAAGTAGCATATTTGAAATTCACCATAATCCAATGAATTTGAATACATTTAAAATGAACTCGATAATGAATTTCAAATGCATTGTAATTTTATACTGCATTTGAAATTCATCCGACCAAATATCCAAATGTTTAAACTCCTACAAAAGTGATGCAGTGCGAACCTTTTGCAGCAAACCAAATGGCCCTTAAATCGATACCTGAGCAAGCCTCCAAATAGCAAGCACAGTCCAGAATACAAAGTTCAACATGTACAGTGTTTAAGATCACTTATTTAGCAACATTTGAAATTTTGAATGCAAAGGAACTTAAAAATTCATTTACCCAGTGTGGTGTAATGATCAGTTTTTTAAGCTTCAAAAGCCTTCTTAATGATGAAAATAAGTTCATTTGGAGATATCATTATTTCATTTTCATTCCTTACTTTACTTTGGTGAGTGCCTACAATGATTCCAAGCACCAAAGACAGTCATAGTGCCTTAAGAATGTCTACAACATTTCAGTTCTGTTAGGGCCCTTTCTAGTTTAACCACCAAAGACAGCTGACGAGATGGATATCTTTTTTTTATTTCCACTCTTCTTGTTTTCTCTCCAAAACAAATCTTTATAATCCACCATGAGCAGTGGACACAATATTATCATTAAGTATAGCTTCAGGAACAAGTTAAATGGAATTATCTAGCAATGTTAGGTACAACTTTACAAATAGAAGGATGGAGAAAAAACCATAATATTGGTTGTATGTTTATTAAAAAAAGTCAAATTTGAAAAATTGAATACAAAGCAAATGCAAAACTTCCTAGAACTTCAATGTTGGATGCATTGCATAATTTTAAATAACCTCATCTCTTTTTCACATTTAATTTCTTTAAATCCACCAAAGAAATCTTTTTAAATTAAAGCATAGCATTATGTTATCATCTAATTTAAATCCTATGTATCTCATGTTCAAATCAACAATTGACTTATAATTATAATAGTTAAACATGAATTTTTTAGGAATATCTTCATACAAATCATTCCAATGAAAAACATGAAATGAAGCAACTAATGAAGATACTGAAATTCTAATATACTTCTTCATAGATACTACTAAAGACCGATATGACTAATTCACATAGGAAAAAAATTTCAAAATTTCAAAATAAGCTAATCATACAAATATGACATATCATTTTGAACGGACAATCTTTAAAAAAAAACCGTAATCCAAATATCATAAAGATCAATTGTGATGACTTGTGCACTTCTAAAATCAACAAGGTAAATGAAGTTTTAAAATCTAAGTTTCTTTGTAAAGCATTTGTCATTAAATTTTTTTCTAAAATACTAATATAACCCTCTCTTTAAGGTTCTCTTTCAAATTTATGTCACTAAACTAAAAATCAAAAACCAGAAGCCAAAAGGTGCCCTAGACGACCAGTAAAAGAGCTTAATTATTGGAAAAAAAAACGAGAATTCACCTTCGCGAAGGGGTTTATCATCTGCTCCGCCGCCCTTTAGAACCGGCGATTGTGTGGCCATTCTCGCCGCCGACGACAGTTGCGGCTAAGTCTTCTCTCTAAGCTCTAGAGAACATAGCCGTGCGCGTGCGCGTGCGCGTGCGTACGGGCCAAATGATAAGCACAACCGACCTCTTCCCTGCGCCGCATGCGACACTACAACGTCCTCAACTCGACAGGGTTGGACGGACAACTAAATTAATTCTATTATTTTGGAATGAATTAATAATAAATCATTTAATTTAAAAATATAAATATTTATTTTTAAATATTGTTAATATTTTTTATACTTGCTAGAAAATTCACGACGGTAGGTAACGAACTATTGTCTTAACATTGTACGAAAGTTCAGCATTCACACACAGATGAAAAAGAAACAAGCGGTGATTATTCCAGAAGTTTTTACTTGGAAAACCTGTAAGGTAAAAACCATAGTGTCTGACCCAACTGTAAAAATCCACTATTAATTGCTGATTACAAAAATCTCTTGTTCCATAGACGGGAATGAGTAATTATATTTTTTCAGATTACAACGTCGACTGACGACGTATGGTTGGTAGTGATCGATGGTAGTTAGTGGTGGTCGAGAACGTTTGGCGGAGGTCGATGGTGATCGTCAGAGGTTGGCGGTGTTCGACAGAGGCCGACAATGGTCGACGAGGGCTGACAGTGGTCGACGGAGGTCCGCGGTGATCGGCGGTGGTCGACGGAAGTTGGTGGCGGTCGACGGCGATCGACGATGGCAGAGATGATGTTGGACTTGAACTCTTTCTCAAAGCCTCAATTTCGCTCTCAAGTATTTTCCACATGTGAATGGTGGGGTTCTATTTATAGTGCTCTCGTTGTAATTAATGCAAGAATATTAACCATTTTGATTGGACGATCTAGAGAGTTTCCTTCGATCATGTAGCATTTAATGAACATTTTGAGTGCCTTGACGATGTCAGAATTGAGTGATCTTGGGCTGGTTGTATTTGTCTTGTTGAGATGCTCGATTCGAGTATAAGTTTACTAGTGTCGATTTCTGTTTGACCCTCCAAATATGTCCGAAAATCTTCTAAGGGTGGTTTAATGACTTGATCTGGGCTTGATTTGACTCGGATTAAACTAGTTTTCATATCATTAGGTCTGTCTCATCGAGTCGGTCAGCTTGACTATAAGTTTGTTGAAATCAAAACTCTGGATGAATTTTTATCAATATTTGAACTTTTCTTGCTCAAAATATCATATCGGGATCCGTGTCATGTATTGAGATTCGTGTTGGATGATATATTTTAAAGTAAAATCTTCAAATTTAATATATTTTAACTATATTTTATATTAATATATTTTTTAAGCGGGTCAATTAATGAGATAATGAGTCGAGTTGGAACTTGTTTGAGCTTTACTTTTTAGTTCATCGACTCACAAACCACTTATCGAGTTGAGTTCGAGTTGGCTCACAAGACGGCTTCTTACTTAATTTTTAGGTGCGACCCTCATTTCTTTTAAAAAAGTGAATGAAAGAAGCTATTATATGTATGTATGTATGTATGTATATTTATTTATTTATTTATGTGTCGCATATTTCAGCCTTTTGGTTTGATATCTTTTGCCGGAGGTTCGAATCCCCCTCTTACTGCGTGAGCCTTAGGGTCTGTTTGGCGCAGCTTTCTGCCTGCTCCTCGGAACCGCCCCGTGATTATTTCGCGTTTGGGGCGGCGTCTCGTCCAGCTGCGGTCGCAAATAAAACGGAAAGCCGAACGCAGAAGATTACCCGTGGCCCAGCTTCACGACAAATGTCTTAAATTGGTTTTATGCTCGTGCCCTCAACTCTACCTAAAACACGAGCGCATCTTCCCCTTTCCGAATCTCCTCAGCTCCCGAGCATCGTTCTCTTCCTGAGCGAAGATTTCCATCTCCTTCTTTTCAGCAACCCTGATCTTCCTCTTCCCAAGATATGCTCCCCTGTGTTCCTGCAAACAACGGTACTTTTTTTTTCCCTGTGTTCCTCTAAGATTTGTTCCCGTCATCTTCCCGAGCATCGTCCTCCTAAAATGGAGTTGAATTGATTTTGACATAAATACGAACTTCCTCTTTTATTGCATTTGTGAGAAGATGAGCTTACGTATTATTACATAATAATTATTAACTAATTACCCAACAATTACATTTATTATATAATTAACACTTTCAAGTTTCACTAATTTATTACATAAAAAAATTGGCTTATGGAGTTATAAAAATTTCACTGTTACAGTCTTTTTTTAAACAGTTTTACCAAACAAGGTGTTGACCTCACTTTTGGTTGAGGTATAGAAAACTAGTTATTTTTCTATAAACAGCTGCATCAAACTGCGCCAAAAAGATAATCAGTGTGGCATGAAAATTATTACACATTAGAAGTAATTGGAGAAAATAATAGCCTCCACATATGTGTGTGTGTGTGTGTGAATAGGTAACCATAAGCAAGCTTTTCTTTAAACAATTCTCCTAATGGCGACAGAGACGGTGGAGAAGGCCATGAGCCCTCCACTCCGATCTCCGGTCCGGAACGCGGTGGATCCACCGCCCAGCTCTAAGGCCATCGTTATTCGTCCGCTTGAAGGCGGAGAGCCCGCACCGGCTTTATTGTTGTCGCCGGTAGCGGCTAAAGCAGCGGTTCGTGCACCTGTGGAGGTGAGGCAGGCTGCGGAAGCGGAGAACTCGAAGGTGGTGAGCTGGATCCTGCGGCGGCGATGGCTGGCGGTGACTGTGAGAAGGGTGGATGTGGCGGCGAGAATGGTGGCCGCTGCGCTTTGCCTCATCTCATTCTCGGTTATGGCGGCTGACAAGGATAGGGGCTGGACTACTGATGCCTTCAATATCTATAAGGAATACCGGTATGTGTTTCTTCCTAGTTCGGATTGTCGAGATCGGATGATCCACTACTAACCTACAGCTCTCTCGGGTGTGTATGGTGCAGGTATTGCCTTTCGGTGAATGTGATCGGTTTCGTGTACGCCGGGTTCCAGGCATATGCGGAGGTCCACCATATGAGCAGCAAGAAGCACATCATCCGCCGTCCGATGGGGAATTATTTCAATTTCGCTATGGATCAGGTATGTTGCATCTCATTGATTCCTTTTTCTCTAAACCTGGAAGATGGTTAGTGGTATATTCACGGCTCTACCTCGTTGCTGTTAATGTTATCATTCATTAGGAAGATTGTTGAGTGAGTGCTATAAGTTTCACAAACTTCTGGGATTGCATTTTAGATTTAAGGGGAATTTAAATTAAATCCTTCAAACCATTCATTTTGGACAGGTTAAACTAAATAAGGGGCTCTTTGTAGGAGTGATTATTACATCCAGATTCTGTGGGAATGACTTGAGTATTGTGGTATTATTGGTGCTATTTACACAGTAATGCCACCAATAATAACACAAAATACTATCAATCTGGCTCCTTCTGGATACAGCTTATCCGGACGTAATAATTTTCCCGCCTTTCTGATAGGATCTACTCTGGATTTATAGATTTACCGTAAATTCAAACAACCAAAATAAATCCAACCAAACGGTTAAATGTATATATATGAATTGCGACGGTTAAATCCGAATTTCTTTTTTTTTTTTTTGCTCATAAATTCAAATTTAGTAAAATCTGGTAGTTCAAAGAATTTGATAAATCCAGATTTATAGCATTTTCTAAATCCAATTCAAGTTAAATTCATCTTGCAACCAAACAAGCCTCTTAAATCCACGAATTTACTAAATTCGGACTTCACCCATTTGCAATGTAAATAATGGTATTTTATAAAATTCATTTTTATTTTAATTTAATTAAGGTGAAAGTAATTTTTAATTGATTTGATTGAATGAATAATGAATTAATGCTTGAATAGTTTGCCTTAAAATGTTGATTATTGTTTACTTAGTTTAATATAATTCTAATTAATAATTAATTAATTTTAAAAAAGTTTATAATTATTTGATGAATACTAATATAGTAATTATAGACTAATTTGGCATGGTAATTACAATAATATATTTTTTATTAAACGAAATTTGGTTGTACTGGTGTAAATTTGTAATATTCATCAAATATTATTATTCAACCTCTACCTAAATTAACAAATTTAAATCATGAAAAAAATTTTCAAACAATTTCAGAGGGGTTTATCTGAATAATAAATCTTATACCAAATTGTTTCTATGATTTAACCATCTCAGAATTTACTAATTCCTATTGGATTAATGACGATAAATTTCTATATAAACCCTTTAGGTAGATTAAATTTATGCTTATTCAATCAACATTTCCAAAAATATGTTTCGCATAGTAAATGTATATTTGATAATTATTGATTATCTTTCATTGCTGCTGTTCACCATGAAATATTGAGCTGGCCAATCGATTGAGAGTGCCAAATAACCATTTCCAAATGCATATTGCGATATTTTTTTTGAAATTGATCCTGAACCCCTCTAGTTTGATTCTGCCAACTTTTTTTATCATTCGTTCTCTAATCTGTTAGGATTTATCTGCTTTAGTAGTTTTCCCCAAGAAAGGATAGAGAACAATCTATATCTATTTTTATTCTCTTTAGAAGAGCGCAAAATACTCTGTTCCTTGTAAGTTATCTTTCTCAATAAGCAGAATTGCAGTTTGGTTTTCTCATGAAATTGCAGAAAGTTTACAATCGTAGCACAAACAGACAATTAGCATGGTACTTCGAGAGGCATGTGATTTGCTTCTATTTTGCATTTGCCCCAATCGAATGGAAATTTTCTAAATGTGCAATTTATCCAGAAGATTGACGATGGGAGTATTTTGGATTTTCTATGTTACGCATAGTTCCTTGCTAGAAATCATTCTATTGTCAAAATGAAAATTTCAGTGCATTACCATGGAAGCTGAATATTGTTGAACAAGAAATTTTATTTCTTGCCGGTTATATTCATTGAACATAGGTATCTTGATTTCAAACCTTATATTGGATTGTTGATCTCATTGTTATTTTGTTTTGAGGCTGTGAAAGAAGGGTTGGTGTTGGATCAAATATTATTTGTTGAATGTTATCTAGACTCTACTAGAGATATTGATATACAGGTTGGCTAATAGAGAGGGAAGAGATACAAAGGTTTTGGTGGGTTGATTTATAGAGAGCCTAGTTGACCCTTAGACTGAGAAGGATGAGTCAAATTGAGTTAAGAAAGAATTTTAAATGAGAGATATTCTGAGGGATGATCTTAAATAGATTTATAGAAATGGTTTCAGCTTATATACTCGACTATGATTGGGGAGGACAAATACCTTTGGTCAAGCAACAAGCTGCTTGGGCAAAAAATTGGCTCTGGTTGACTAGAAGCCTAGCGAACTCGGTTATAGGTAGTTCATGTTGATTCATAATGACTTTTTAAACTTGGTTCTAGCTTTTATGATGAATTGATTAGCTTGCTGATGCAAACATGGGTGCTCATTTGATAAAATTATATCCGAACATGTAAAATTGTTCAATAATTGCATCAGTGCGATCGGATAAGGTCCCCACAACAATTTTACGAAGTACAGATTAGAAACATATACGAACATCGACTAACAAATTCTTGTCTTTGCACAACAGTGCAAGCCCACAAATCCTAAGTCACCACCAAGTGGACTCATTTTTGGCTCTAATCCACTAACTAATGGCTTCTCTTATCTCTATTTCTATCCAGCCACACCACCTTATCAAAGTCTATTCTAATGGTCAAGCCAATTCAGCCTTTCTCTAGTAAACATTCTATAAGATAATCAAGTAGATCCCTATACAAATATGATGACATATAAATTATAAATACACAACTAAGTAAACTAAATTATACAGCAATAGGACAGCTGATTTTTTATGTGGTTTGGTCTGCCTTGGTCATCATTGTCCTACATCTCTGCCTAGCCTAACTCGACATCAGAACCCACATTAAAGCTTGTCATGACAAACTACTTTCATTTACTCCACATGTTGGCAGAAAATTTTTTTTTACTCCAATTTCTTCCTTAATGGGTAATGGAAACACGCTCTAAACTTCTATTTCAAAGCAAGAAATAGGCTGGTTAAGCCTTCTCTATTAGGTCACGACATTCCTTCTTCAAGTTGATACTTTTTTGCATAAACGATTAGGTGATGAAAGTTAACTTTAAAGCCACATCAATCCTCACTTGAACCTTGGAGGTAATTCAATGGCTATCACCTATAAAGATGTTTTGCACAATCCCTTATAACCCTTGATTGTAATAAGATAAACATAATATGAGCAATTAATTACAATATAAACTAAGAATGATAAATAGCACGTTCAAAGAACTAAGCGTAGCTTTGAGATGTTGATGTAAACTTTAAATCTTTCTTCAAGGTTTCTGTAAAAGATCCCATAATATAAACTTATTTTTTTCATGATTTTTGCATTAATTATTTTCTATGAAGCTTTTGGTTATGTAGCCATTATCACTGTTAAAAATGTGCTCAATTAACATATAGTAATTACGATTACCTTAGTTAAGTATTATAGCTATTACACTTTTGAAAACATTCATAATTAATATATTTTGGCAAATCATAGTGCATCTTGCTATAGTTTTTATATCATATTTTACAATTTATATCATGCTATACTATTTATATATCTTAATATTTTAATTTTGAACATTATAATAACTATTTCGACCCAAATCTTAGTGTACTATTGTCAGTTGTGCTATATGATCCTAATAGTATCATACAATCTGTCTAATAACGCATGATATATATCTATCATATTTTATGATCTAAATATTATTTTACAATTTATTAGAGGCTATAGCATGTGAAAGTATGTTTTCATGATTCTAAATAAATTTTACTAGCCTAATTATAATATTTAACAATATTGTCAGATAATTTTATTTATTTATATCATACAGTTGGTACTAAAAGGTAACTTCTATACAATAAATATATTTTAACATATATTTTTTTTTATCGTGTTCATCTCTTGTTGATAATGTTTTTTAAATATGATTTTTAACATCTTTATCATAAGATTAGTCATCAGACACTTACATTATAATTTACACTTATTCATTGATTTGTCATTATAGTCTTCTTGCTATTCCATTGCCAATTATACAAAGCTCCAAGGTGCTTTATTTCCAAGTTGATATATTTTTGAGCTAGTTGAGCACATAAATGATTGTCGCCATCCTTACTACTTTACAACTAACCTGTAGCATGTAAGAAAACTTGGCAAACCACATTAGGCGCCACACTATTTTTGATTTGCAATCATCAAATGAATAATAAGCCACATATGAATTGCTTGAGCTAACGAGTTAAATAGATTCTAACCCATTCAACAACTTTTGGCTCTTGAAAATTTTATTTCACCAAAAAGGTTATGGCAACCTTGACAACAGCTACTGGTCTCATGGGTGATCCATACCACCTTGGCCATATTCAACTCATGTTTTGCGAATTGGATGCCAACCAAGGGCATTTCTTCATGACCGGAAACTTATAGGCAATTCAAGTCAGTTTATGCTCAACGATTTGCTGAACTCAGTTTAGGTTCTGATGATGAATTAATAGGTTGATCCATGTAAATATAGGTATAGATGTGTAAAATTATATTCAAAACTCCAAGTTTTGTTTAATAATTGCTTGAAATTTACTCAACTAGAAGGCAAAATTGCATAGACAAAGGCAATGTTCCACACTTTGTTGTCGGGTAGGCTGGTTTACCCCAAAATGAGCTGTTGGTTGGCAAGAAGCAACCGAAATTGGACAAAATTCCTGCAACATAAGACAAGAATATTACCAGAGCAGTTAACCGCAGGTTGATGGAAGAAGTCCCATCCGATAACCAAAATTTTATCAACATCACTACGTCTCATACTATCCACCTTGGTTTCAAGAAGTCCCACGAGATGAATATCATTAGCAGTCATAAGGTGTTGGAGGTAGTTGCCCACGGTTGCTTTGCGAGCAACCCTGCAATTCGAAGCAAGGACCAGGCTCATTTTTACACCAAAGGGGACATGTCGACAAGGTTTGTGGGTTGATTTTCCTTTTCCGAGGAATGGGTTTAATCTGGCTCAGCTGCCAAATTTCTTTGTCGAAGTGAGGTCTAGAAACTCCATCAGCGTTCCTTTTGTGTTTGCTTTTCAAGTCTCTTAGAATTTGGCCGTCGAGATGTCTTCTGGAGATGCGGAGGGGGGATTTGGTGGATGCCCATTGGGGTGGCTGCCTTTAGAATTGCTGGGATTATTACCCGACGAAGCAGATTGCCGCTTTCTCTATTGGAGGGGAAGAGTTCCCCTCCCTACTGCTTATTTCGGAAAGATTTTTTTGGGACCGTTGGAATTGGTGTTTGCGGCAGGATTACCTTTTATGGGTTTCGGTTTTCGGTTTTTGGTTAGTCACCAGGATCCACACACTGTATCCTTATTCCTCGGGCTTGTTTTCTCAACCGGGGATTGTTGCTTCCTTTCCTTCCCCACTGCCGACAGTTGGTTGGCTGAACTGATCCCATTCAGTCTACTGAACGGCATTTTCTGCTGGGCACCCTTCCCGGGCCTCTCTCCAAGCACATTTGTCATCAATGTGGTTGCATTATGCGCAGCTGGGGTCGTGGTTTCCTCCACACCGAGGAGGTTGGCAATTCAATTTGGTTTGGCATTTGTCATGCTTATGTCCCTCTAAGCCACAGTTAAAGCAAAACTGTCCAATTCTTTCGTTCTCAACCTACTGGAAGAGTTTCCCGTTCCCACCATTTACCCAGACCCCGGTTGATAGTTTTTTCGACAAATCCAATTTGATGCAAGCACGTGCATACATGCCGCATTTCCAGTTAGAAGATTGAGCATCAAGTCATAAAGGCTTTCTGACAATCACGGCAATGCGAACAATATTTTCATTGTCCCAATATAATAATAGAAGTTGCGGTAAGCATATCCAAACTGGAGGGGATAGGCCATCTAGGGAATTTGAAAAAAAATTGGCGACCGCTTATCAAGGGCCAAGATACTCCCCAAAGCAGTCCAAGGCCCACCTCTCAAGACTACGTCCCCGTTTCTTTACAAGAAAATTGCTGAAGAAAGAATCCATTCTAATTAAGGCCAGCTGAAACTCTCCAAATTGAGCCCATTTACGCTCAAGCTCGCTCATTAAGGTGGCATAGGGCACCTTCTCCCCAGAAGTTTAACCACAATGGCTTTTTCTAACTTTCTCACATTTCTGTCAATAGCAACATCATTCAGTGTGACTGTAACACCATCCGCTGAGATTTTCTTCAAGTCATACTCGTCACTGATAGGTATATGATCATGTTGTTGCCATGCTCCCGTGCCTTTTTCCCAACGTCTATTGGCCAACCTATTGTTGGAAGCTTGAGCGGAATCTTCAATCATTTTGCCAGCATGCTCTTATGGTCCCCCAACACTTGTCAGGGTACTAGGGCTATCCTGGAACTAGGGATGGAGCTTCGAGTTGCAGTACCTTCAGTGGAGGCCTTGGCACTGTCAGGAACAACACCACGAACTCCTTGCGTGCAATTCTGCACATTAGCCTTGTGATCCTCGAAAGAGTGGGGATTTTGCACACCTGCAGAAGAAGCAACTACCTTTTCTTTTTCTTGAACAACATTCATCATAACTTGACCCATGCTGGTCATATTACCGCCCCATCCACTTTAGAGGCATGGGGGCTTTCCCGTGCGATTACTTGGGTTTCCAACTCCATAGGTTTCCAACTCCATAGCAGCCTGAGCATCCCGTTCCTTTCCCTCTCGCAAACCCCGATCACTGGCCTTGAACTGTACACTAAGGATATATCCCACCAAATTGCTTTCACATGCAATTGCTTTATTAACTTAAAAATGAAAATATTCGTCCAATTCAGTACTCTTGCCTCATTGTTCCCCGTTAAAACCCTTGATTATCACCGTTTGCAATCTATTTACTTGTGGAGGTCATATTTGACATTTCTGACATCACAGAATCTATTTGAATAACAATGACCTTTAAATTTCCATATTCTCTTTCATCCTAATCTGGATCTGTTTTTTCAGTATGGTCTATCGTTTCATATCCCATATCTTGCATTTTTATTATAGTTCAAAAGTGTTAGATCAAAGTGTAATAGTTGTTTTAAGATGAATTTCTTTATTAAAACTATTCAAAGGAAAAAAAAAAAAAGTTTTATGTGATGAGGACAGGTTTGGAGTATAATTAGGGGATGCTGGTGGGTTACCATATAAGCTTGAACGTTACTGCAATTCCACCTCTATATCATCCCAACAACAAAAACTTGCAGGCATACTGTGCCTTTTAATACTGGCAGGCCTTAGTAGGTAAAAGGAGATTATTTCCGTTTGTTTTCTCCTTTTTTTTGGCTTATGATCGAAACTTTTGTCTTTGCAGAAGCTTTTTTAAACCCTTTAGAAACTTTATTATTATTAACAGAGGCAAAAGTCTGCTTGAAATGCTTAATTTTATGATAGATACTCGCTTACCTTCTAATCTCTGCAACCTTTTAATCATCCTAATCTCGATCTTCCTTTTTCAGTACGATATATAGTTTGATATCCGACTTCATGCATTTTTATCATTAATCAAAACTTTCAGATAGAATTGTAATTGTTTTTTTCGGATAAAATTCCTTATTAAAACTATTCAAAGAAATGAGAACTAAAAAGATTTCTGTAATGAGGATAAGTTTGGAGTATCACTAGGGTGGGTTACCTCATAAACTTGAAGGTTATTGCAATGTCATGTCGTTATCATCACATCTACATAAACTTTAGACTACTGCATCCTTAATTTTTTTTATACTAGCAAACCTTAGTAGGTTAAGTATATTCTTTCTGTTTGTTATTCCCTTTTCTTTTAGATTGTACTAAAAAACCTGGGCCTTGGCTGAAGCTTGCTAAAACCTTTTATAAACTTTGTTATATTAACAGATGCAAAGATCTGCCTTAAATGTTTAATTTTATGACAGATACTGGCTTACCTTCTAATCTCCGCATCGTCATCTGCTACCGCACGAACGAACTACTGGGTTACAAATTGGGGGACTGATCCCTTTCCTAATATGATCTCTGGTTCGGTTGCAGTATCTTTTTTAGCATTTGTTGCTTTTGCAGTCAGCTCCCTCATCTCTGCTTACAACCTCTTCAACCGTTCCATCTAAATGCCGGCCTTGTAAGTTACTCATTTGGTTGCTAGAACATAGAAAAATATGTCTTAGAGGATTCTAACCTTGTTTTTACCTGTTTTTGGGATCTGAAAATAAAATCATTGTATTGAGGGGATTTGTAGAGTTTAACATCAGTCCATATGCTGAATTGAAGAAAGTTTTAACATATTTTAAGCATGTTTTCTAAGACTTGTGTGTTCAGAAGTGCAATTTGTAGAGCTGGTTTGTACATGTAAATTCTTATTGGAGTTTTTGTTTTATAATGTGCAGAATTAATGCTGGTTTATGATTTTGAATAATATGCAAACTGTATTTGCAGGTTTGAATTGAGCTGCTGCTTGTTTTTTTAGTCATTTCTGTTTAGCTTGGAATGATAAGATGGAACTTGATAACTGAAAGACATGACACACCTAAGAAGACGGGGAATCAAAGCATTTGTTGATAATTAAATCAGTAGTTTTGTCAAATTTTTGGATATTAGTAGGTAATGTGATGGTAGAACAGCCATGGATGTGAAAGGAGCTTAATTTTATCTCTACTATGATAATAAACTGCTTAAATTTCATAGTTGCTAACAAATTTTATGCGCTATTGCAGATAAAGATAGTCGGAGGTAGAGCCGGTTGGCTTAAAATCGGCTTGAATCGATTGAGTTCGGTTCGAAATAGGCGTGTGGATCATTATGTTTGATTTCAAGCCAGCTCGGCTCGAAATCGAATCGAGCTCGGCTTGATCCAACTAGAAATTGAAACAAGATGCCTCAAATTGAGTTACTTGTTCTGTTTCAGATCAAAATTGGCTAGTAGGTTATTATATTTGATTTATATAGCATTATATATAATTTTTATAAATAAAAAATAATCTTCCTATCTCGAGCTAGTTTGAGTCGATCTGTGCATGGCTCGAAATTAGCTTGAGAAAAATTTGATCCAAAGTTTTGGCTCATAGCTCGGCTTGTTTATGTCGATTTGAGCTAAAATTCAAAGAAGTTTTTGAGCCATTAATGATCTTCAAGCTAAATTCACAGACTAACTCACAGACTGGCCCTATTCAGAGGACACCATTTAGTCTCTAGATGTTGATGGGAAATGCTATTGTCATCATTGTAGCTAATGGTCTAGTACCATTTTTTGGTGATATGAAAATTGTGCTTGGGGGAGGAGTTTTGGTTGTAGTGTGAAATACTTTAAGAGTTATTTTTTTTCCAAGAGTGGAAAATGTCAAGTGAGTTAAAGTAAATACCTATTTATAGTTTTCATGATGAGTTTTTGGTTATTATTTAGCATGTTCCTTGTAGTTATCAACATCAAATGGTAAGAAATATATGAGTTTATCATATGCCTTGATTTTGAAAGATATGTCACCTAAGAGGACAGTGAATTGGTGTGCTTTTGAAAATAAATTGAAAGTACTCTAACCATGGCTAATTACAACTAGGATCCCAACTATTTCAGAGATTAGAGATCCCCCACAAACACACATAACATTAGCTCTCGAACATCCATATATTTATTCCACGAGGAATATGAGTGGAGAAGATCGAAAATGATCTCTTTAAAATCCCTTTCTCAAGGCATTGGATGTGTGACCATTTGAGCTTCTAGCAAGAATCCTCTCTATACTTGGTGTTTCAAATTGCTTATATATCAAAGTGCATATTCAAATAAAATTTTAAATATATTTCGGTATAATATGATCAAGATGGTGCAATACAATCGGTTGAAATTGATTTGTAAAATATAATACATGTTATATAGTATGATTAGTTCGAATTTTGAATTATCGTAATCAATGTGTTGTACGATTAGTTTCATTCTCGAGTATAAATTAATCATGTTGCTATTGTACCAATATAAAATGGAACATATAATACAATACATGTTATATAATACAATATTAAGATCAGATTTTTATAATTAAGGTAATTTAATACTATTAGTTGGCTTAGGACGTACATGTTAATAACGTTGTATGAAATGCATTTTATAGTATGATTAGTTTAACTTTTTAATTATCTTATGTAATACAAGTTGATCCATTGCAATGTACATTCCAACAAGTGTCCTATAATATAATTCTAAGGTCAAGTATCATTGTTTAATCTCTCAATCTTGAAAAAATTAATCGAAATAATTTGAAATCATAATTGATCAGACCTTACCATTCATGATTGTATAGCCGATCTAAACTTGATGAAATTTAGTTTTGGAGATTGTTTGGTATGGTTGTTCATGATCATTTTTATACTTGATTTTACGTTCGTTCTGATTTAATGTACACCTAAAACATGTAATAAGACATGTCTAAAGCAATTAGAAGGCATATCTAAGATCTTGAATCTTCTCTCTAGAAATACCTCAAGCTAGCTTCACTTTAATTCTTCTAATCACATGCTAGTTTAAAAATTTTAAACTACAAGCTTCTTTTGATTCACAATAAATTGTCTAGTGTTCCTAACATTAAAATTTCTCATCTAATTTGTTTTTGAAATGATAGTACTCTAACATGCAAAAAAAATATTCCAAATATTGTTAACTAAAATTTGTTTTTGTTTATGATTATCAAAATACTTTAATATAAGTTGAAGCTCATTGGGTTAATAATGTTTCTATGTTGAAGGTAACAAACATATTTGAATTATACATAAAAATTCCTTTTTAAGTAGCATAGAATAAGCAAAGAAATCTAAAAAACAAACACATAGTCATAACTTCAGGGACAAAAATTATTACTGAATTTACACTTACTAATAACGACATAGTTACCCATCGTTATTATTGTTGCTTAGAAATGGAGTTTAGCTTTTACTTAATCATGAAAATAAAGAGGGTCCCATCAAGAGTCTTATTCCATATCTATATATATATATATATTTATCAATCTTACGTTACATTAAATTAGAATAATGTTATAAGATTGTGCTATTCTTATGATACCATATTCTTAAGCTTAGGGGTACTAATTAAATATCTAAAAATGAGACTTATTAATGTCATATGAGATTCTTTCGAATATACTTAAAAGTATGTATATAATTATACATTAAAAATAATCATGATTGTGTCATTAGGATATTTATACTCTCATATATATTCATGTTAAATTTCTTAATGTGTATTGTTTAATATATTTTGTCTGAAAAAGAAAGGTTTCGTATTCCTCTTTATTTGCAAACCTAAAAATATGTTAGCTCCTCAATCATTCTCATTTCAAATTAATGACCCATCATTTTATAGGATTATCAACGCATTAAATTATTTGTAGCTCCAATTTAGTCAACCATTTTCCTTATAATAAATCATTTTAGAGGATTATTGCAATAGTTTCCTCATAATAAATCATCTCTATTTGATTGAATCTCTTATAACTAGTCTTATTTTATTATTAATTTTTACTCAAAAAACATTTGATTTCTTTCTAGGCATTCATTTTGTTCCTATTACATTCATTTATGTATGGCTATAATCAAAATTCATTGGAAACTAGTCTCTAGGGCTATAAATGAACTAATAATCCATCTAAGTTCTCAGCTGTTCAACACAATAGAGCTTATTCATGAACTTCTTATTAATTTATAAAAAAATGTTTGAGCATTTCATTAATACTTGATTGATAAACAAATAAACTCAATAGTTTATTATTTGATTTGCTTATGATCATGACTAGTATCATTTAAAATTTATAAATGACTTCCATAAAAGCTCAATTAAGACTATAAAAAATACTCAACATCTTAATTACTAATTAATTAATCATTTGTAAAACTAATTTTTGTATAAACATATATGCACGTGTGTGCGGCTTGCCATGACTCTTCGGTAGTGTAGCCTAACTTAAGTCCCCTGAAATTATGGGTTCTATCCCGCCTGAGTGACTCTGCTTTGAAGTATTAGATCGAGTTATTAGACACATAAGGGTGACTAGAAGCTTGTATCACATAAGGGTGACTAGGAGCTTGTATCATGTCCTTCATTTATTTTTTTACCATCGCTAAACCCATTCCGTACATTTGACAGGAAATACGGTTACCCCTGAGCTCCGTGTAGCCGCCGTCTCTCTTCCACTGCTTAACACAAGGCGGAGTGAGGAGATGGCGGCGACGGCGGCCTGCGCTGCACGTCGAACTCTTCTCCGCTGCTCCACCGTCTCTAGGGGTAGCATCCGTACTAGTACATCCATTCCGGCCTCCGCGTTCGCCCGCCAACCCCGCCGGAAACCGCCATCAAGTATTTTAAGGTGGCCTTTTGCTTCATCGTGAAATCACGTTGCTGTTCTTTATTTTTGGTTCCTGATGTGATTTGCTCAACGCCTAGATGGAACTTTTATTCCTTTAAGAATTCCAATGGGCAACGAATGATAATGGTGTTTTTTGTATTATTATCTGCTTCAGATATTATTGCCTGATGATATGCTTGTCGCAGAGTTTAAGAAAAAGATTAGGGTTTTGGGTTTTAATTATTTATTTGATGTTTTATAGGTTCTTTGCGAATTTTAAGTTGGGTTGTATTTGTTTCGTTTGTTTGATTGAGAGCTTTGGTTTATTGTTTTGTGTAGGGTTGCTGGGGAGCTGAGTCTTATGCAGTCCTTGATGCCATTTTACAGCGCCACTGCTTCGGCTTTGCTCACTTCGAAGCTCTCTATGAGGCCTGGGGGCTGGGCGTCGCTATCAGAAGGTGATCCTTCATTTTTTTATGAGATGATTTTATTTTTCTAGATTTAATGCAGTTCTAGATTTAAACTTGTGAAATTGGTTTAATTATTTTAATGCAGTTCTAGATTAAAATTGTGAAATTGGTTTAATTATGAGATGATTTTATTTTTCTGTGACATCTACATGGCCTTCATCTACATGGCCTTCGTAAAAGCTTTTGATTATTGTGAATGAATTTTATATGAATTAGTGCCCCCTTTGAAAAACAAAAGAACTTTGGCTAGGAGCTGCTTATACAAATTTTTGATAGGAGTGCAATAGAACAATGATAAAAAGAGGAGACATTTGATCTAATGTATTCGTAGCAAGGATTTGTCTCAGGACAACGAGTTTGGTTTTCATTTTGTAGCACAATTTAATTATCTTGCAGCAATTTTTAACATATGTAATTAAATATCATTTGCTTCAATTACCTATCTTCCATTCCTTATAAATTTATATTAGGAACGCAACAATGAAAATTACTATTTGTTGATATAGATTTTAATATCTAGTGTAAGCTTTGAAGTATTTTTTATTAGTTTTTTCAAAATGGTCTAACTTCTGAAATATTGATAGTTGTGATTTGTTTGTTTAAAAAACGTTTAATTAAATCGTTCATGGTAGGGATTGTACAGAGCCCATCCTTCTATGCAGGTTTGTTGAATTACTAGCAATTGTAGTATAAAATATCACATAACATCTAGAAATCTCTTGTGAGTTGGGCTAAGAGAATTGGTTTGTAATAGTGATAAAGCATTCTCTTTGATGCAAAACATTGGTAGGCCAACTTATCCTTAGTTCATATTGGGTTTGTTTTTGTAGTTTATGTCATATATCTTTTCTTTCGAGTCTTTTTTTATCATTGTACCATTTAATTATAAATGTCTAGCTTCTTTGTTTTAGTCCTATATAATGTGTGGTCTTTATGTAAAAGGATGGTTTGTGCTTTATTTCTTCTTTCTATCATTCCTTTCTAATATGTATCTATTTTCTCATAATATATTTATGACTATGAATTATTTTGGTATGTTGTCTTTGTACTCAATGGTATTCAAACTCTTTAGCATGTTCTATTAATACCCATGCTTAAAATTATGCAATATGAGCGCGTCTTGTGGCCCTCCTCAATTCTTTTCACAAAAAAATCACAGTGAGGCTTATGCCTCATTATCCTAGAGTGAGGCGTACTCTTCACCCAGGCCGAGGCTCACCTAGCCTCAAAAAACACCTCCATTTTTTTAGGCTATTCACAATTTTTTTTAACAAAATTAAAAATAATATCAATATACATCATCTATTAACTCTCACATTTCACATACCAAATAACAAGAAATAAAAGAAGAATGTATCAATAAAAATTCATATAGTTGAAGTTTGAACTATTAACATAGTTATTATTTTAATTAATAATTTTTTTATGATTATTCATTAAAAAGTTGATAATTGAGATTAAAGATGAGAAATGAGAAAATATTAGTATGATTGGGTATAAGGCACAAGATAAACAATTCATTATGCTGATGATTCTAATAGTGACAGTATTACGGACTTTTAAATTTAAAATTCAGATGTTATTGGCTGACATATTCTTATTTAAATGGGGGTAGCATCAGCGAGAGAGAAAGACTTATATTTAATTTATTTTGATTCTTATGTTTTCATATATAAATAATTTATTTTAACCATCTTAACTTTGATAGTTTAATATTTGTATAACCTATCTTATTTGATAATTTAATGTGTTATTTCTAACATTATGTAATTTATTATTTTTTAACTTAGTTAGAATGCTATATTATTTTTTAATGTGTTTATAAGTCTGAATATTAATATGTTATTTTCTTACTTTATACAGTATTGTTTATATAATAGTTCTTAATTAATGTAATTTTTTAAATTTAAGGCTTATGACTTAAAAGTCGTTGAGGTTACGCGTCATCTCATGAACAAAAAACTACCTCAATATTCACTTGCGTAATTTTAAACCTTGATTAATATATATGATCATTAGCTTTAATATAGCGACATTGCTGACTGGATTCTCCTGAGTGAATGAGGCAGCTAGTAATTAGTTGTAATTAATTTCTACCAATAATACATAAATCAAAATATTCAGATTTTCAAGTTCCAACACTTAAGGATCTCCTCAAATATAAAAGCATGTGATAGAATTTATGATCATTCCCCCTTTTTAGCGGTCTTATGATTTCTACTATAACGACAAGCCAACCTCTATTGATGATTTGGATTTTAAGTATGATTTTGAAGCACCATAACTTGAGTTTGCTACATTGCTAGAGATTGATCAAGAGTCTACTTCTTATGGGATATTTGAGTTTGATAATGTCACTCGAGATTCATCGCGTGCCAAAGTCTGATAGTATTGTGATACTTGAGCCCGAAATAAACTTGCCAACAAATATTTTTTGACAGTCTTTTAGTTGAATTTTTGGCAAAGGTTTCTTCGACAATATTTATGTCTTTTAATTACCTTGGAAGCGATTCCTTTTACAGTGATTTCAACACACAATGATTATGTTCTTTAGTACCTTATTTAATTCCTTGATATAGTTTATTTTAAACAACCTTATAGTTTATTAAGTTTGTATTGTGTTGCCAAAATCATCTTTTTGCCCATTATTAGTCTTGTTTGTTGAGCTATCATATACTTCTGATGATTATATTGCTATAAACCAAAGCCTTCTGATCATTTGATCCTACTTGAACTTTATCTACAATTCTTCAAACTATTTTGATTCAACCGTGGCGCTTCTTTTTACTTAGTCGCCTACTGCAAACTCATTGGAGAAGTGTTTTTTGTGTCCTAAGGGAAAAATGCTAAGTATTGATGTACTGACTTTTTTTTTTATTCCAATCTTTAAATCAATGTTCATGGTGTATGTCTTATGCGTTTGGTTTTGTGTCATAGGTATTTTATGCTTGTGCCTTTTACTTCATGTTTATTGATAGTTTTTTAAGTCCCATTTCATCTTATAATCTTTATGAAAGAGGACCATTATATGTAGAAAAGATATTCCTTAGGATCAAACGAAGAATAGTGAAATCAAAGCATGATTGCTTGAGACATTGTCTCTTTTTCTCAGACTCCTTGGGATGCGCTACCATTCTCTATCCCGCATCAAGGGTTTTGTACCTTAACTCCTCTCCTTTTTCTATCATGTTGTGTTTTCATTTCCAAAAAGTATCATTTTCATTAAGAATTAATTTGTTATGTCTTAGCTGCATTTATTAGTATCCTATCTCCTAAAACGTCTTTGTTGATATTTATAATCACAAGTGATGTAGCACACCATCTATGTAAAGCACTACTTCAACCCTAAACACTTCACTAAAAATACTTCTCGAAAGAAGTTTTCTTATTTTAGTTGTCTCTTTCATACCGGTGTAGCCTTATAAAAGATCAAATTGATTCCCACTTGATTTCTCTTTTCTTAGTTTTCTCTTTTGTGCTTCCTTTAGTTGATTTGTCCTCGTAAAAAGAAGATGCTTATATGTTTAAAAGATATCTTGTGAATATTGAAATAATTATAAGGAACTTTTACTCCCTTTATCTCGCCTTATCTCTCTATTTTTTGATTTTATGTACCCATTTTTCTTGATCTCTAGATCACATCAAATGGTATCAAAGTTGAAGCTCTTGCATATTGATCGTCTTCCTAGCCAAACGTCATGTGTTAGCAAGCTCAATCAATGTGCATATTTGCTTTTGAATACCACTCCCACCTCGTGGTCAAGCCTTGCAAAGCTACCGTATTGTCTCACACTTTGTATTGTGCTTTTTGTTTGTGAACTAAATTACTTCCATATCTCTTAAATGCAATCTCATAACAGGTTGCTCTTCGCACAATTGCTGTAACCCATGTCTTGTTAACTCCATTGCGCATGCTTGCTTTGCATCTCAGTACCTCATGAACTTGCAACAACATGCCTACCGTGTTGATACACAAAGCCATGTCACATTGCCTACTGGCCTGCAAAATTTGAACCCTTACTTACATTTGATTTTCTTTTCTTGCTAGTTCACATGTAGGGTTGATATTTATGCTTCAAGTGAAAAAAAAAAAGCATGGGGACAAGCCATATTCTTGGATTGCTAGTTCACATGTTGGGTTGTGATTCCTACATTAGCTTTCATTTTGTCTCCTTTTCATTCTCCTATGTCTGTGCTGCCCCCGTGCTAAGTTTTGATGTAAAAAATTTTAGAAGAAATTTGACTTGTTCTCTTCGCATGGAGGAACAACAAAGATTCTTAGATTACCGCTGATCAGTATTCATTCTCTCGCTATTTTTGCATAAACGCTCAATGAAGGGTTAAATGGTTAGAAGAAGGCTATAGGAACTCTTTTGAGGGAACTATAATGACTTGGGATTTCAAATTAAGACTAACTCAACCGAGTTTTCTTGCTGTACTTTTTGCCCTTTTTTATTTTGAAGTAATTCTTTATATAGATAGTAAGTACTAAGTACCGATGTTGAACACCCAAATACAACCTGGATTGGGTTTAAGGCTAGTTAGACTGATAAGAAAGATCAACTCATGGGAATTGCTAGAAACATAATGAATTTTTGAATCATCTGAAGCTTTTTAGATGCATGAACTCTGCTTAAGGGCTGACATTTGAGCTACTTCTAGTTTCAAAGCTAGTCACCCACGCTTTAAAAAAAAAAAAAACTAGCCCAACTCTCCAATGCTACTTGCTTGAACTCAATAAGCCTCCCTGAAATCCACTTACAACTTCATTTGATTTCACTCTTTTACTTGGAAATTAATATGCATTCTCTATGTAATCAGATAGGTATTAGCTAGCTAATTTCATTCATTTTATAACAAGCACTTGCTAAGTCTTGTTTTGTAATTTTATTTATATTGCTCAAATATAGCTTTTCTTAGAATATTTTTTTGTTGACTCATTTCTATAAGTAGGGAGTAGAGTGAGCCTGAAGCATTTGATCATTCGC